AGGCGGTCCCATCGCCCCGGGGGGCGGGGCCGGGCAGCCCCCTTCCCACCTGGCAGCTGACACCAGCCACCCTCAGATCATCACCGCCCTGGAGGAGGACCCTGCTGCCCAGAAGATGCAGCTGGCCTTCCGCCTGCAGCAGATCGCAGCCGCCCTCGAGAACAAGGTCACAGACCTCTGACCTCCGGGCTCTGCCACACAGTCTCGGTCGGGGCACAGGTGTGTGATGCTTGAGGCCGGCATGGGGTGGCCCTGGGGGACGAGACCTGGGTCGTGGGCTCCGCCCTTCTCTCTCGCTGGCAGAGGAGGAGCCCCCGCAGGGCGTGTGGATGCGGGTACGTGGGTGCAGAGGGGACCCCACCTCCATGTCAGCAGGCACATGGCGTCTTTCCTTCCCCTGAGCAGCAGTGCCCGGCGCCCTCCAGCACCAGCTCCTCCTGAAGAACCAGCACCGGGCGCTGTCTCCGAGTGGAGTCCCCTGAGCTCTTCGCAAATGTGCCTTTAGCCCCCGGCGCCACCTGTGTTGCTAGGGGCAGTCGGGCCTCAGCCCCCCTTCCCGAGCACCAGCAGCCACCTCAGACGTGGGTTTGGCCTATTTGGGGGGTCTGAGTGCCTGCAGCCCTCAGGCCCTTGAGCCCAGACTGCCCACCCGCCCGGACGGGAGGGGAAAAGCGGTACGATGCCTTTCTGACCTCACCCGGCCCGCTCTGCGGGGCCACGGCGCCCCGGGCGGACTCTGCGCCGCAGGCCTCACCTCAAAGGTCACGCTGGATGTCAGACGTCGGGGCCCAGGTGGCCAGAGGGGACCCAGCAGACTTGGGGGCCTGGCCTCAGCCTGTCAGACAGGCCGTCCTGGAGGCTCTGCCCTGTCTGGGGGGCTGGCAGCTCAGCTAGGTCACCCCCACCCTTTTTGTAAATCTTGTTAATTGTAAATCAAATACAGCTGTGTTTTTCATTCTGCTGGTTGGCTGGGTTCTTCCTGCTCACGGCCCAATGCTGTTTGTCCATCAGACCCGATATCTCACCCTCTGGTGGGCTGGTGGGCTTCACCCCCCTCTCCCACTGGTTCCTCTGGGCCAGGCCCTCCGTGGGGGGTGTGCACACGCAGAGGCCACTGTTCCCACAGCCACGAGCTGAGTGGGGTCCACCCCGGAGGGTGGTCGAGGGCTGGGAGGGCGGCCTCAGGCATGGAGAGGGGCTGGGGCAGGTCAGGCCTGGAAGTGGTCCTGGAATGGGTTCTGGGGACAGAGGGGGCAAGGCGGTGGGATGGTGAGGGGACTGGACTGGCTCACGTGCGCCCTGGCGGCACAACATTCCCGTCCTCCTCCTCGGGCTGAGCCCCCCAGCCCTGGGTGTGAGGGGCGGGTGTGAAGGGCCAGACCATGTTGGCAGCGTCTCCGGATACAACCCCCTGAGCCTGGGAAGCTGTTTCCTCCTCCCTGAGGTGGGGGCGCCTCACAGGCGCGCTCCGCCCAGTGCACATTCAGTAAAGCCCCTGCTGCATGCAGAACCCACCGGGCCCTGCGTCCCCCTGCCTGAGGTTGTGGGGCCACTGGAGTGGGCTTCTCTGTCCCATGAACTGTCCCAGGGTGACTCAGGACCTCAGTTGGGGTCAAGGGCTCTGGACCTGAGAACAGGTGGCACCTCGTTGGTGCTGGAGGCAGGGACTTGTCTGGGGGTCTGGTGAGGGGAAGGAGCACTGCTCCTAACCCCTGGGTCCCTGTGTGGCAGGAGGTGTGGAATGTGTCACCCTGTGGCCACCAGGCATGCGTGTGCATGCTCACACATACCACCAGTGTGTATTGGGGTTGTTTTAAAGATTTAATTTACTTTTTAGAGACAGAAGAAGGGAGGGAGAGAGAGAAACACGGATCAGATGTTGCCTCTCTTGTGCCCCAAACTGGCGACCTGGCCCACAACCCAGGCATGTGCCCTGACTGGGAGTCAAACCAGCAATCTCCCAGTGGCCAGTGACTCGGTCAGAGCGTCGTCCCAAATGCCACAGGGTCGCAGGTTCAGTCCATGGTCAGAGCACGTACTTAGGTTGTGAGTTCAATCCCTGGTCAGGGCAATTTTGGGAGAAATTGATTGACGTTTCTCTCTAAAAATTCAATGAACACCAGTGAGGATTAAAAAGAATACTAATGAAGCAGACAGGGGAGGTGATGGCTCTGGAACAGGAGGTGGTCCAGCTTCAGTGATGGGTGGACCCAGGTGCTCACTAGTTAGAACTTCTCGACACCTCCTGGTTTATCCTGGGGCAAGCAGCCCCAGGCAGGGACTACTCTGCCCGGGGCAAATTCCAGTGGCTGGAGAGTGTCCCTGGGGGGGGCCTGGGTCAGGAGCCGGGCTGCCCAGCCACAGTCAAGCCACTTGGAACAAGGGTTGTGTCCCCCACAAGGAAGGGCACTGGGCAAACAGCAGACAAGTCCCCCCAGGGACCCTGCAACGGCAGTGCTGAGGTCCACACTGGGTCCTCCCTCTGCAGACACGCAGCAAGGCAGGAAGCCAGAGCAGGGGGCTGTCTGGGAGTTCTGAGCTGGAAGGGGGGACAGAGGCCTGGCTTCAGACTGGACCCCAACAGGCCACTTCTGGCCTCTCCTCCCTGAGACATGTCCTCTACTCTGAAGCTTGGAGATGCGGGAAGGGCTGCAGGTCCCCCCAAGGGGAGCGGGTAGGCTCCCCCCTTGGAGGAAGGTGCGTGATGGGATCCAGGAGCTGGTCCTTCCACGGGCCAGTTCAGATGCGCAGGTGGGCATGCCAGCTCCGAGTGGTCAGGACTCTGGCCTTGGTGGGACGGCCAGCACACCCTGGACCACTCCGTCTGCATGGCAGGCACACCCTGCTGCTTATGAAGAGTGTGAGTCCCTCCTCCCCAGACTCAGCCGGATCTGAACTTTTACAGGGAGTTCAGCTGTGCCTTGGGAAAAGGACAGCCAGACTGGCAAGAGGCTGGGAAGGGAGTGACCTGGACCGGTGGAGGGGGACAGCAGACATGGAGTGAAGGGCTGCGCTCTCGACCTTCAGGGTTGACACTGCGTCTCAGCAGAGGGTGGGGCAGACCAGGGCTCAGGCCTGGGGAGAAGGCTCTTCTCAAAGCCCCCCATCCTCCACCTGTGCTCCCCCCACACCTGGCTGCTGCCCGGCCCCGCCCCACATGGCCCACCAGTCTGAGCTCTGTCCTCTCACCTAGACAAAGCCACCTTCACCTGGTGGCCCGCATGTCACTGAAAATGTCCAGCAGTGCGCCCAGAAAAGGAAACTCCAAAATCTGGCCATGGCCACCCCCAGTCTGCCGCAACTCCCAGCGTGGCCACCCCTCCTTACAGTTCTTTAAGTCAAGCTCTGTCCTGAAAGGCAGGACTGTCCATCGTCACCGCTCCAGGGGGCTTCTCCCTGCCGCCAACCCCTGGAAAACTCTCTGTGGTCACTCCCATGCAGTTAGAACCCGGCCCTCCCCCCGATGGCAGGTTGTGGGGGGGGCACCTGTCTGCCCCAGGCCAGCCCACAGGCCCGGCTGGGTGTGTCCAGGGCAGCTTTGCGCCGAGAGGAGGAGCTCTGCTTCGGGGGACGCCTGAGCCCCACAGGGAGGCCCCCGACTCTAGTCACCTCTGACCACTCACCGCCTGGATTCTGGGGGAGCCCCGCAGGGGGTTCCCTTGGTCGGGCAGACCCCAACCCCGGGGAAAGCGCGGGAGTGCCCCACACCCGCGCAGGGGCTGTGCCGGTCGCCACGGGAACGCGCGCCAGCTCTCCTGGGGTGCAGACAAAGGCTGGTCTCCCGGCGGCCGCGAGGCCCGGTTCCCACAGCCTGGGCCCGGCTCCCGCCCCTCCCCCGCCTTTAGCTGAAGCCTCATTAACTCCGCACAAAACCTTAGCCGCCAGAGAAGGGCGAGAGCGGGCGGAGGGGCAGGGACCCTGCTCCCAGAGGGCGAACAGGAGCCGGGGCGGTGGTGGCGGCCGAGCTCCGAGACTGGGCCAAGGTCCCGCGAGAGTGGTCTTCGCGGCTGGGACTCGGGGTCCCGGGGTCCCGGGGTCCCAGGGTCCCCGCTGCTCCGGGGCCCGGATTCTCTGTCCGATGTACCCATTTGCCCGGTACCGTTTTGACATATATTATTCCCATTCGTTCATCGATATTTACAAATCAGGTGATTTCCATAAATCGTGGGGCCAGTTCAGATGGGCAGGGTGGGCAGGCCAGCCCTGAGTGGTCGGGCTTCAGTTTGTTTCGATCTCCCCGCCGGCCCAGGGCGGGGGTCAGGAGGCGTCTCTCCCCACTGCGCGGCGGGACGTCCCCGCGGGAGCCCAGAGCGCGGGGCAGGAGGAGCTCGCAGCCCCTGGGGAGGGCGGGTGCTGACTAGCGGCTCCTGGGCACCCGGGAACGTCCGGGTGGGCTTCCTGGAGGAGGTAACAGCTGAGGAGGGCAGTTGCAGGAGGAGGAAGGGTGCCAGGCGCGGAGAAAGATCCATCTGGGGAAAGTTTCTTGTGGACACAACACCCCAAAGGCCCCCTGGCGCCGCCGCTGTCCCTGGTCCTGACAGGGCAGGTCTCTGGGCCTGGCCGGGCGGTCACCGTTGCCCCGGGAGACGCCGGCGGGCCGCCATCAGAGCGGGGAGGGGCGGCGAGAGGCCGCGCCCCACCAAGGCCCGAACGGCGGCCCGGGACCCGTGGCGCCATCTGCCCACCGCAGGGGGCCCTCCCGAGCCGCTGCCTAGTTGCATTAGGTATCGTTTTCCATGTTGGCGATGGTGCGCCCTGGCATCTTGATTTCGTGGGAGCCGCTATAGGGGCGGGGTGCCGGGCGAAAATGGGGCGGAGAGGTGGAGGCGGCGGCCGGGATCGGCGGCGCCCCGGGGGACCGGCGGTGGACGGACATTTGGGGAGGTGCGTGGGGCCCCGGCCGCCCCCGCCTCCCCCACCCTCGCGCGGCCAGTGCTCCCGGGACCGCCCCGGGGCGGGAGAGGAGGGCTGGTTTCCGCTCGGCAGCGCCTCCGAGGGGCAGGAAGCCGCCTTGTCTCCGGGAACCCCTCGCCAGCCCCGCCCTGTGCACCGCCCTCCGTGCGCCCGGCTCGCGCTCCGCCGCCGCGGGGGGCGCGGCGGACATGTCCGGCCCGCGCGCCGGCTTCTACCGGCAGGAGCTCAACAAGACAGTGTGGGAGGTGCCGCAACGACTGCGGGGGCTGCGCCCGGTGGGCTCGGGCGCCTACGGCTCGGTCTGGTAGGGGCGGGGCGGGGCGGGGCGGGGGCCGGGAACCCCGGGCTCTGCGCGGCCGGCAGGTCGGTAGAATGAATGGGGGGTGAGGAGCGTGAAGGAAACTTGCCTACCAGACGCCGCGCCCGGTCGTCCTCCCGCCCGGTCTTTCCGGAGTGTCCCCCACCAGGCCCTAATCCTGCGGCGTCACAGCCGGGGACAGGGCGGGTCTCCAGGGCCAGAAGGTCTGAGTGGGCCCCTGAAGTGCCCCTGGTCGATCGTCAGGCAGCCCCGGGCTCTGGCAGACGCTCCCAGGTCGGGTGGGTCTACTTTCGTTTGAGGAAGAAAAGCCTAGACTGGGGCGAGACTCCTCCCCCTAGGATGGCCTCAGGCCTCTCCCGTTCTGCCTGGGACCTTAGATGGGGTTTCGGACTAAGAAAACACGCCTACCGTGACCCCTACAGTCCTCTGGGGGTTCTGCACCCCACCCCATTTTTGCTCCAAACGTGAGAGCTCTGACCACAGCCCTGCAGTCAGGCCCTGGGGCTCCGATGGAGGACAGAGTCTGGAGGCGGGAAGGAGGGTCTCTGCCCTGCCTTTGGCTGCGGCCTGTTTCCCTGGCTGGCGCAGAAGCCAGAGGGGCCCACGGTGAGGGGGCTGCTGGAAGTCCTGCTGTCCCTCGGAATGCTGACCCGAGGCCGACAGTAGTTGTGGGTGTTCAGAGAGGTCCCCCTCCCACGGCACCCAGTGGGTTCCTCACCAAGGCCAGTGACAGGTGGCCACTGTCCACTGCAGGGGTCCTGGGGGTGGGGACTCCGATGCCCTCAGGGAAACGCCACTGCCCCAGGCTGTGGCAGAGGGTTAAGAATGGGACTTCCCTGAGCCCTGCCTGAGACCTGGAGCTGGAGCCTGGAGCAGGGTTGTGAGGTCCCAGCGGCTTTGATCACACCTGATCCTGCAGTCGGGGAGCCTCAGGTCGGGGAGCCTCAGGCAGGCCCCTTCGGGCACTCCAGCAGCCTCAGGCCTCTGTCTTCACCTCTGACGCCAAGGGCCAGGGGAGGGCCAGGGCCCACGGGCGAGCGGCTCTGGGAGGCCTGACCCGTCGTCACCTGCTGCAGCTGCATCAGGGCCTGGCGGAGTTCCCCGGGAGTGTGAGCTTCCCGAGGACAGCCCAGGTCCCTCTCCACTGTACTCAGCTAGGGCGAGCCCTGGCCCCTGGGTCCTTCCCAGCTTCCACATTAGCCCGATGGAGCTGTCAGTGGGTTTCACAGACACAGTCAGGGAAAGGGATCAGCTGCCTCACCCGAGGGGCGCCCCCAGGAGTGGCTTGGACCTTCCCCAGCAGGTGATAGATGAGGGGAAGGGGACAGATGCCTCAGGCACCTGCCTGACTTTCCTCCACTGCCAGCTGGGCCCAGTAGCATCCCTGGTCTTGCAGGAGCGGCTCCCAGCACTGTGTGGATGCAGCTCACTCTTGGGGGGACAAGACCCCAGAGCCAGGGAGTGCAGTGGAACTGGGGGCGGTAGCAGGGAGGAGGAAACTGGGCTGGTTGCTTTTGAGATGGTGCCAGTGACTGCTGAGTCCCTTGTGAGGAGGTGGCCGTGGGGGTGGAGGGCGGGGACCTGGCCCATTGGGGACGGGCAGGGGGAGGGGTGTGGGTGCAGGCACCACCCCTGCTAGAGGTTTCCTGTTGCCTGGTTTCTCACTGCTAGAAGCAGCGAGGCCAGCTTTTCCTCCATGTTTTGAGTACCTGGAGGCTTTGGAGGAGCCTCCTGGACCCATGGCCCATGGGGGTGGGGGACCGAGTGCTGTGGGAACATCCCTGCTGTTTCCCTGGTGCGTCATTTCCACCCTGGCCAGTGGAGACTCCCCAGCTTCCCTCTGGGTCCAGGGCGAGAGTCCGTGGGGGGAAGGACAAAACATCCGGGTCCTGCCAGGGAGCTCCCGGGCGGGCCGGGCTGGCCCAGAGTGTTGGGAGGGTCTGGGTGAAGGGGTGGGCTGGAGGGTGGTCTGCTTCTTGAGGAAAGAGCAGGACCAGAGGAGACTCAGAGGAAGTGCCGGTCATGGTTTCATCCCTGGGGGCTCTGAGCAGCCCCTGGATGGCGGCCCAGCTCCTGGGGTCCGTGGGAGCAGAGAGGTGGGCGAGCAGAAAGGGCCCACCCCCACGGAGGAGGGGCAGTGGAGCACTGGTGCAGACGCGCTAGGGCGCGTGCACCTCTCCCCACTGCCTCACCTGCCCCCTTGCAGCTCGGCCTACGACACGCGGCTTCGCCAGAAGGTGGCGGTGAAGAAGCTGTCGCGCCCCTTCCAGTCGCTGGTCCACGCGAGGAGGACCTACCGGGAGCTGCGGCTGCTCAAGCACCTGAAGCACGAGAACGTGAGCTGGGACTCCCTGCGGGAAGGGGGGGGGGCCCGCAAGGGGTGGGCCTGGGCTGGACGGCCATCCTGACCCCTCCCACCAGGTCATCGGGCTGCTGGATGTCTTCACCCCGGCCACCTCCATAGAGGACTTCAGTGAAGTGTAAGTGGCCCCAGGCGAGGGGCGTGGAGGGGGCCGCAGGGCTGGGGCCTGACGCTGCCCCTACCCAGGTACCTGGTGACCACCCTGATGGGCGCGGATCTGAACAACATCGTGAAGTGCCAGACGCTGAGTGACGAGCATGTCCAGTTCCTTGTGTACCAGCTGCTGCGTGGGCTGAAGGTGGGGGCCGGCAAGTGGGCTGGTGGGGGCCACAGGGCAGATGGGGCGGGAACCTGACCTCCATCTGCCCCCTGCAGTACATCCACTCGGCTGGGATCGTCCACCGGGTAGGTGCAGGGGTGAGGGTGGAGCTCCACTGGGCTGCCTGTGCTCCTCCTGTGCTCCCACCCTGGCCATCCGGACCCTGACCCTGACCCTGACCCCGACCCTACAGGACCTAAAGCCCAGCAATGTGGCTGTGAACGAGGACTGCGAGCTCAGGGTGAGTGCTGGGGGTGGGGGCGCAGAGAACGGAGGAGGTGCTCCTGGGACCGCTCACCCCCCGCCCCCCACCCCCGGGTGCTGGCTCCAGATCCTGGACTTCGGGCTGGCCCGCCAGGCGGAGGAGGAGATGACGGGCTACGTGGCCACACGCTGGTACCGCGCCCCTGAGATCACGCTCAACTGGATGCATTACAACCAGACAGGTGACGCCGCCCCGAGCCGCGGGCAGAGCTCATCTGGGGCCGGGAGCCGGGGGAGCAAAGGCAGGGATGGGGGTTCCACTCTTGTGGGACCCCCAGCCTTGGGCCAGCATTTAGAAACAGACCTTCAGAGGGCAGAGCATGGTGGTCTTGGGCTAACCCCTCCCCCTGCCCAGGGTTTTACCTGGAGGGGGAGGGCAGCTAGGTACGACTGGGCCCGCTGGGCTGGCGGAGCCCACGCAGCCCCCCAGGTCCCTGCGAAGGGACTCGGAGGGGCAGACTGACGGAGCTTCGCCCCCAGCAGTGGACATCTGGTCTGTGGGCTGCATCATGGCCGAGCTCCTCCAAGGAAAGGCCCTCTTCCCGGGAAGCGACTGTATCCTTGGCCCGGGGTGAAGCGGGGCCAGGACCCCTTTCTTCCCGAGAGTGGGTTCTGGGCAGTGCCCCGAGGCCTGGGGTCTGGGGGCCCGAGAAGGGTTCACGCTTGGGCAGCGGGCATTTCCTGAGCCTGGCAGACATCGACCAGCTGAAGCGCATCATGGAGGTGGTGGGCACACCCAGCCCTGAGGTTCTGGCCAAGATATCGTCGGAACATGTGAGTCACCGGCTTCCTCTGGTGACCAAGCTGCCCCCGCCCCCGAGCTCTGGAGGAAGGGCCGTGTGGTTGGGACCGGCACCTTGTGGGGGGCACGGGCCACCACGGAATGGGCTGCACTGGACCCTTCGGGGGTGAACGGGGAAGACCTTCCGGGCCTGAGGGACAGTGAGGGCGAAACCCCAGCACGCACGGCAGAGCCCTGGAGGGGCAGCCCTGGCCAGGCGGGGTGATCGAGTGGGGGGGCTCCTGCCTGGCACTGGGCCAGGGGAGGGAGGGGGGAGCAGCCCCTGAAGGCCCCCCGTGCCCACAGGCCCGGACGTACATCCAGTCGCTGCCCCCCATGCCCCAGAAGGACCTCAGGAGCATCTTCCACGGAGCCAACCCCCTGGGTGAGGACAGGCCCTGGGTCAGGGCTGAGCTCCCTCCACGCCTGGCCCTGGACTCGGAGCCAACTGCCAGACCCCTGTTCTCTGGGCCCCTGTGCAGCCGTGGACCTCTTGGGAAGGATGCTGGTGCTGGACAGTGACCAGAGGGTCAGTGCGGCCGAGGCCCTGGCCCACGCCTACTTCAGCCAGTACCATGACCCGGATGACGAGCCCGAGGCGGAGCCCTATGACGAAAGCGTGGAGGCGAAGGAGCGCACTCTGGAGGAGTGGAAGGGTGGGCCGGGGGAGGGCGGCCCGAGGTGGGGGTGGTGGAGCCCCGGGGCCTGAGGGCTGCCTTCCCTGGGAGGCCGGGCGCCCCCGTGTCCTGCACGAAGTGCCCTGGCTCATCCTCGGGGTGGTCTGGGAGGAGGGCAGCGTGCCCCCCACTCCAGGGTGCGGCAGGTGGAGATGGGGTTGGTGGGGGCAGCCTCAGAAGGTGGTGGGCAGTGCTGGACGGGGGCAGCACGGGCTCACCTTTCCGCTCGCCCCCCAGAACTCACCTACCAGGAAGTCCTCAGCTTCAAGCCCCTGGAGCCACCACAGCTGCCTGGCAGCCGGGACATGGAGCAGTGAGCCACGCCGGAGCTCACGGAGGGGCCGGGGCCTGCTCGACCCCGTGTGCCTCAGCTGCCGGGGATCGCTCCCCACCACATGACCCCTGTCCTGGGACCCCTGGTCTGCATGCTGCTCCCTCTTGGGGTCTGCGCACACATATGAACGCATGAGTGTGTGCCCTTGTGCACACCGTGGGCGGAGGAGTATGGACAGGGTGTCCTGGACTTCCTTGGCCCTTCTCCCACCTCCCCAAAACCAGGGCCTTCCCTGGGACCTTGCTGTAGAGGACCCGGATGCTTAGGGGTCCCCTGGGCAGTGTGTCTGTCTCCAGACCTCAGTCCCAGGGGGCTGTCTCCGGGGGGTGGTGCACTGGGACCAGGGCCCCCTGGAGACTCAAAGGGTGGAGTGTCCGTGGTCCAGGCTGCTCAGCCTAGAATTGGAGGGGCCACCCTGAGAAATGCTGGGACCCAAAGCCCTGAGAGCTGGACAGGGTCTTCCCTGGGGGGTGGCAGGGTGGCGACAGCCACGAAGTGTCCAATGGGACTCCTCCTGGAGCCGCATGCTCCCCTGAGTTGTACGGCTTGTGTGTTCCTGGCATTTAGTTGTCAAGGCAGGTGAAGGTGCCCAAGGGCCAGCGGCTGTGGCCAGCAGGAGGCCCAAGTTGGGGTTAGCTACCTGCCTCCCTCCCCCCAGTGTCTGATGTCATGGGCGGGTGCTGTGCCCCACATGAGGGGCTCAGGTGGGCAAGGAGCAACCATGGGAACCAAAGCCAGGGCATTGTCCTTGGGGTCCGGAGCACCAGGGCCTGGAGCCAGCCAGCCGGGGAGCTGGCGGGCATGGGGGGTTGGGGGAGGCGTGGGGGACTGGCACCCACTGAGGCGGACTTGGACTTGGGCCCTGGACCTGGGCCGGGAGCTGATGAAGAAGTCTCTGCCCACTCTCTGGCCCTGCAGCTGAGAGCTGGGGCGCTGTGCTCTGGGCTGGGCCCTGGTCCGCCCTCCTTCTGGGATGAAGCTGACCCATGACCTCTGGGACAGGCCCGTGCTCCAGAGGTGTTGGAGGTGTGGGTCTTCTCTGTCCAGTGGTGGCCTTGGGCGGTGACCTCCGACCTCGCAGGACCCAGGGTGGTCAGACTGTCAAGTGCCTGCACCAGAGTCTCATCAGTAAAGGAGGTTTCCTCTTGCTCAGCTCGTGTCCCAGGCTCCGGGTGCTGCCCTGCCGTCCCGCTGCCTGCAGGGCGCTGGGTCTCCGTGCGTCACACCCCCAGCGGGCCCGGCCGCACCAGATGCCTGCACCGGCCAGGTCCCTTGGGCCCCAGTCGGACGAGCAGCCATCTTTCAGCCCCCTCCCTACTCCCCCCAGGCCAAGGGGCCCTGGGGGATCGGGCAGGGTGTGACAGCGTCCCACAGATCACCCTGCATCTGGCCAGACCCAGACCTGCCCCTTCCTCAGGCGTCAGGGAGGCCGTGTGTGGTGGGGGAGTTGAGGGCTTTGTGGGCGCGCCTGGGGCTGGAGAGGGCGAGAGAACAGCTTTCCTTCCCGATTAAGGGGGCAGAGACCACTTCAGGCAGAGCTGCCGCAGGGCAGGTGGGGGAGGGCCTGGTCCCCAGAGAGTGTCAGGCAGAGTGACTCCAGGACAGGGACATTCCGCCTCACACCCTGGGCCCTGGGGGTGGAGACCATTCGGGAGCTGAACCTCCAGGGGCAGTGAGGCTGCTAGGTTTCAGGTCCTGGGAGCCCCTGGAGACCAAGCCGTGCCAAGTCCTGGGGGTGGGGGGCTGGCAGAACTGTGACACACCCCACCTGGGGGTCTGGTCCCAGTGGGGACCCTGCCGGGCCCCTGGGCCCACTGCAGAAGTCGAGGGGCCGGCTGGGGGCTTCCCGGAGGGGACAGTGGCGTGCCAGCAGCAGCCCAGGGTGCCAAGGGCACGGCGAGGGTGGTTGTGGCTCCCGAGACGCCCAGCCGCCCCTGCCGACCCCCCCCAGCCCCGAGGGCTCAGCATCGCCCGCCTGCCCGCACCCCAGGTGTAGAGCTGCTCTGGCTGGGCAGGGGCTGCAGGCTTGCGGAGGCAGCGCACAGAGGCAGGGCCCACAGTGACCTGGGTCACTGGTCTGGGGAGGACGCGGGAGGGGCTGGGGCTCTGCCCTTCAAAACCCCTGGTCCCAAGTGGGGTGTGACTCATGAAAGAATGACGCCCCCACGCAGAGGAATAAGGGGCACTGAGCTGGAGTAGGGCCCTCCTTCACCGCTGGGGTCAGGCGCCCCTTTCTGGAGGGAGCAGGGAGGCTCAGGCAGGGTTTCGAAGGGCAAAGGGTGGGGGGAGTCGGCTGGACAGGCAGATGGACTTGCAAATGCTTGGAGCAGGCTCCCAAGTGCCTCCCGAGGGGAGAAGAGGGAGCTGGGGTGCGCACAGGCACCAAGGGGGACCTCCGGGATCACCCCTCTGGCTCCTGGGTGTGGGAGGCCTGGGGTCAGTAGTCACAGGGAGGGGTGCTGGGGGTGTAGCCTAACTTTGGGACACAACCGGCTGCCCCATGGGAGAGGAGGATGCAGACCAGACAGACACCGGGCCCCGCCCCCACCCACCCGGGGCTGGTCGCATCGGCCCCAGGGGAAGGGGGTGTCTTGGGGTGTGGGAGCTGAACAGGGCGGGTGAGAACTCCGTGCCCAGCTCAGGGACCTCAGGGTTGGAGGACCGGGTTCAGGGGAAGTGGAAGCCGTCGGACCTGGTGGACAGTGATCAAGGCTAGATACGAGCCCTGCGGGCCAGCACCCTGGGGCTATAGTTAGTAAGCAAGAGCCTGGGACCCCCTCTAAGTCACCCGGATCCCGGCGGAGCAGTTCAGCCTGAGCGCGGAGGCGAGCGGGGTCTCAAGCCCTTGTCCCCTGGCAGCTGGGGCTTCTGTGCCGGCGGCGCTCCCCTCCCCCTGCGTCCCCCTCTCCCGCCCCGGGCCTTCCCGGCGGCCGCCGCCTCGGGTTTCCGGAGGGGCCGGAGGGCGGGCGGGTCGTCACGTGCGCGCCGCCCTGGGGCCGGTTGGTCCGCCGGCCGGGGTGAGACCGCGGGCCTCACGGGCCGGGGTCGGGGTCCGCGGCTCCCGAGCGCCGGAGGGAAGAAACGGGAGCCGAGTGCCAGCGCGGTGGCCGGGGAGTCGCGCCGACCCATGAGCTCTCCGCCGCCCGCCCGCAGGGGCTTTTACCGCCAGGAGGTGGCCAAGACGGCCTGGGAGGTGCGTGCGGTGTACCAGGACCTGCAGCCCGTGGGCTCGGGCGCCTATGGCGCAGTGTGGTGAGCGCAGGCCCGGCGGGGTGGCGGGCCGGGGGCAGGTGGCCAGGCGGGGTGGCCGACCCTCCCGCTAAGCAGTGCGTCCCTCAGCTCGGCCGTGGACAGCCGCACAGGCGCCAAGGTGGCCATCAAGAAGCTGTACCGGCCCTTCCAGTCCGCGCTGTTCGCCAAGCGCGCCTACCGCGAGCTGCGCCTCCTGAAGCACATGCGCCACGAGAACGTGAGTGCGCCGGCCGCGCCGGCGCCCCTGCTCGCTCCCGGTCCCCTCTGGGTCCCCTTCAGAATCCGCCCCAGAAGACCTGCCCCTCACCGGGCCACTTAGGCGTCCCCCGTATCGGGGCAGCATCCGCAGAAGGTCGGTGGGGTGCTCCAAGTGGGGAAGGCAGAACCGGACTCTTTCAAAGAGAGAGAGAGAGGGAGAGGTTGCTTCCCGGGCTCTAGTCCTCTCCACCCAGGCCAATCCCGAACGGGGGTGGCGCCCACTACGCTCCCACCGGGCCCCATCCGGCCCTGCAGCCCAGGTCTCACCTCACATTTCTGTGGACCTATTTCCTGGAAGGGGTCACTTAGCCTTCCTTCCCTGTTCCGGGGCATCTCCTGCAGCCCCAGCCCGGGTGATTTCTCCAGCCATTCCAGCCCCTTTCTGGAACCCACCCTGCCCCAGTCCACCTCCCCCGAGGCCTGAGGACCTGGGGACCCTGGGAACACTGAGCTAGACAGGAAATGGGAGCAGGCAGCCCGGTCCTGCCACCCAGGCGCCTAGGGTCCCCGGTGAGGGAAGGTCTGGGGCTGGTGCGTGAAGGGCACACAGGTCTCTGGGGTTTCGTGGACAGCGGGGGGTGGCAGACCTGGGTCCCCATCAGGAAAAGACCTCCCTTGTCTTCAGATTGGCCCGCAGAGTGCCACTCTCGGCAGCGTGGGCCTCTCTGGTGGCCGTGGCTGGCTGCTCGGCCGTGGGAGCCCGCTGCTTCTTGGTGCAGAGCCATCGAGGCCAAGAGCTCTGCTCCCCGACCCCACCCCAGCCGCACCTGCCTCACCCTCCTCTGGGCCCAGTGTGAGGGCTGGTGGTGCGGGCACCCAGACCCTGGCTGAACTTGCTCCCGACGTCTGGCCTGGCCCCTCCCGAGTTGCTGGAGCCACCAGCCTCCCCTCAGGAGAAGGAATCCCCCAGGGAACTGGTCCCCTCCTCCCAGCTGAAATCCATTCATGGTGGACACTGGCCCGGCCTGGGCCTCACTCCCTCCTGGTCACACCCGCTCGTGCTTGAGCCTTGTCCCCATGAGGGGAGACCCCCGCCCATGGCTCCACCTGCTTCCCACTCACCGGCCCCCCCGCGCACCCACCCGTCCTGCTCATCCTGCTGCCCCCAGGGTGCCCACACACAAAAGAGGACACTCGGCCAATCTCGGACGCCCTTTCCCAGGAGGAAACCGGCTGGAGAGGCTGAGTCCAGTGGCAGGTGGGAGAGTCGCCAGAGACCCCCAGTGCCCCCACTGCCGGCCTCCCTCGCCTGCCTCCAGCCTCAGGCGCCATGCGCACCACCCCTCAAAGGCACTTGGACCACGTGGCCCCCAACCTGCAAGACTCTGCCCTCCTCTTGCTCAGTCGCCTCCAGTGCCCCAGGCCTTGCCTTCGTCCAGACCCCTGTCTGGACGTCCTGCCCTGTTCCCTCCTGCCTGCAGTGACTCTGCCCCCCCCCCCCCCCCCCCCCCCCAGTGGCTGCAGTGCTCATGGAGCCGCCCCTTCACCTCCAGCCCCTCTCACCACCTCGCTGCAGTCCATGCCCACGTTTGGCGCGACGCCTGTGTCGGCCCTTCCCCCTCGGCCCTGGGACCGAAGGCGAGTCTTTGCCTGGCGAGCGAGGCCCGCTCCGGCTCCCTCCGGCCTCTGCTTGGCTCTCCCTGGCCTGGGCCTCGGCCACCTGGCCTCCCTCCCGTGTTCCTCAAATGCTCGAAGGGCTCTCTCTTCCGCCTCTGCCACCATTCTCGTGGCCTCTACCAGGTGTCCTCCCACCCCTGCCTCCATGGCGCACCTACCTGGCTCTCTGCTGCTCAAATGTACGGGCCCCCCTGGGTCCCTGTCACCCTGAGCCCTGGGCCCCAGCTGTCACGTTCCGTGTCTGCTGTCCCTTGCCCCCGACCAGGGGTCTGCAGGCCCGGGCCTGACTGTTGGGTTGGTCACAGTGCTGCCTCCCTGGGCCTCTCCCACAGAGACCCAGCCCTGGGAAGTACCTGCCGGGTGTCGGGTCTCCCCTGGGAGGCCGTCCCCATCCTGGTCCGAGGTTTACAATGGGGACAGGAAGATGGGGAGGGAGGAAGGGCCAAGGAACCGGAGCTCCTTGGACTGCTGGGAGCCGGTCCAGACTTTGGGGCCGCCCTTCCCCCAGAGGACCCCAGCTGTCACTGGCCAAAAATAGCCAGTGTCTGGGGCAGGTGTGCCAGGGCCGGGTGGTGCTGCCAGTGGGCAGAGCCGGTGCTGCGGACAGTGGGGGACGGCGAGGGCAGCTGCAGGGGACTTTCCTGCCTGGAGCACCGGGCCAGCCTGGCGGGTGGCCCCCATCCCACCTGGTGCCCTGGCCTCCTCCCCAGGTGATCGGGCTGCTGGACGTGTTCACTCCAGACGAGACCCTGGATGATTTCACAGACTTGTGAGTGCCAGGCTGGGGCTGACTGGGCGGGGCGGGTGGGTGTTGGCTCCCCCCTGGGTGCCCGTTTGGGGTTCTGGGTTGGCAGGAGGGCCAGCTGGAAGCAGGCATTACCCTGTAGCCGAGATGGGGGTCGGGAGGCACATCCCCCCTCCCCCCCCGTCTTCACACCCCTGTCTGCCTCCCCTCCACGTGCCGCCGGGACCCATGGCACTGGCACAGCCAAGTGGGGCCTGGGCCTCCACTCTTGTCACGCTCGGCACCGGGCTGTCTCCGGAGGTGTGAGCCTTGGACCTGGTGCTTGTGAGCTGGCAGGTCCCAGGCTCTGGGCCTGGCACTCAGGGTGCGACCGTAACTGGAGCTGCTGACCTTGGCGGGAGGGCAGGGAGGGCGGCAGGGTGCCTGCCCCTGGGGCAGCAGCTCCTGGGCTCCCACTGCTGTTGGCCAAGAGCCAGAGGCCTGGCCTGGGAAGGGCGGGGGGACCGGCTACCCACTGCCTGGCCTTGCACAGGTCGAGGGCCCGCACTGGCTGCACTGTCCAGGCTGGGTGCTAAGGGCTCCGCCCTCCGTCGCCCTCCACCCACCCAGCCTGGCCCTCGGACCCCGATGTCTCGCCATCCCATAGGCACTTCCTTCCCCTCCCTGTCAGCACAGATGTCTCCAGACCCTCACGGGGCACCGTCCTTCCCACCCTGGGGTGCGGGGATGCTTGGGAGGTGGGGACGGGGGTCTTCCCCGGCCTGAGCCGGCCCTGCCCCACAGCTACCTGGTCATGCCGTTCATGGGCACCGACCTGGGCAAGCTCATGAAGCTCGAGAAACTGAGTGAGGACCGGATCCAGTTCCTCGTCTACCAGATGCTGAAAGGGCTGAAGGTGAGTACGAACCAGTGGGCGGGGAGTCCCCTGGCTGGCCTGTGGCTGTGAGGTCCCAGTGAGGGGACACGCTGACCCTCTCTTTGTTCCCACAGTACATCCACGCTGCTGGCGTTGTTCACAGGGTGAGTCCCGGAGGTGGTAGGAGCTTCCCCTGTGTGTGTGGGCATTCAAAGGGCTCAGCTCCTAGCAGCCTCTGGTTCTCCCCGCAGGGGGCATGAGGGGTCCCGTGGGGAGGTCACACACTGTCTGTACACAGCCCTGGGGCCCGGGCCCCTCTGCCCTCCCCAGTCTGCCTGCTCCCAGGCCCAGCCGCTCCCCCGGCTCCTGTCACCGCGCCCCTGCTGGCAGGCCACACAGCCACCTTCCTCTGCCCGCAGGACCTGAAGCCCAGCAACCTGGCGGTGAACGAGGACTGTGAGCTGAAGGTGTGTGTCCAGTGGGGCTGGGCCCCCTCCCGTCTGCCTGCCTGCCCACCACGTTCTTGGTCCTCAGACCTGGAGGGGGCCTTGCCCAGGCAGCTAACGGCTGGATGTACCCTGGGGAGGCACTTAATGGGGTGGCACAGGGCCCATTCCCGCACCTGCTTGAGGTGAGGGGCAGGAGGCAGCGCCTGGTGCCTCAGGCCTGAGCCAGAGGGGCCCAGAAGGTGTCCCCAGAGGTGCCTGTCAGGACCTAGAGGGTCAGAAGGGAGCGGAGGAACAGGGGGAGGAGACCCCTGGGGTACCTGGTCCCAAGGGTGGGGGAGGTGGGTTCTTTGGGGCGGGGCACACTGGCCGGGTGGGCACCCACTGGGAGGCTTCGGCTCTGAGTCTGTGACCCCAGGCCCTGGAGGGCTGGCAGGAGCCCCAGTGTGCGCATTCCCCGGGGGCTCCCCGGACCCTGGGCTGGCTCACTCGCTCCCAGGGGCCCCTTTGCCCCACCCTCCTGATTCTGGCCACAGATCCTGGACTTCGGCCTGGCCAGGCAGGCAGACAGCGAGATGACCGGGTATGTGGTGACTCGGTGGTACCGGGCACCTGAGGTCATTTTGAATTGGATGCACTACACACAGACAGGTGAGAGACTGCCCGGAGATGGGGCTACCACCTGGACACCCCACCTTCCTGGCCCGAGGCTGCTCCTCTGGAGGCTACTGAGCTGGGATGGAGCTAGGAGGGTGTGGCAGGCCAGATGGCCCCTCTGTCCATGCCCCCGTGCGTCCCTCCCCCCGGCCCACAGAGCCCTGATGAGGGGGCTTCTGTCTCAGTGGACGTCTGGTCTGCGGGCTGCATCATGGCCGAGATGATCACGGGGAAGACGCTGTTCAAGGGCAACGACCGTATCCTGCAGCTGTGGGGCCAGGCGGGCTGGTGGTGGCTGGGGGCGCTGTCCGGGCCGGGAAGGGGGTGTTCAGCCCTGAACCCTAGCCCACGTGGTGTTCCTGAGCTCGGCTGAGACCTGGATCAGCTGAAAGAGATCTTGAAGGTGACGGGGACACCTCCCGATGACTTCGTGCAGAGGCTGCAGAGTGCTGAGGTCAGTGGGAGCTGGGCAGGGCTGGAGGGGCCCGGGCCAGACCTCGGAGCTGGCCCTTCACCGTGTCTTCCTCCCCAGGCGAAGGACTACATGAAGGGCCTCCCCGAGCTGGAGAAGAAGGATTTTGCCTCCATCCTGACCAACGCGAGCCCTCTGGGTAGGGCTGGGCTTGGGGGAGCGTGGGGCCAGTGACTGGGTGCTGGGTGTGGCACCCTCCCCTCTGCCCACCCTGACCCGCCCTCCCTGCAGCCGTGAACCTCCTGGAGAAAATGCTGGTGCTGGATGCGGAGCGGCGGGTGACGGCGGCCGAGGCGCTGACCCACCCTTACTTTGAGTCGCTGCAGGACATAGAGGATGAGCCCAAGGCCCAGAAGTACGACGAGTCCTTCGATGACGTGGACCGCACGCTGGACGAGTGGAAGCGTGAGTGAGGGCTCTAGGCAGGGCCTGTGGCTGGGCCCCGGGAAATGCCCACAGGTGGCCGGGCTCAGAGTCCTGGGTCCACCAAGTGAGGGACACAGCAGGAGGTCAGAGGGCAGTGGGGCATCCTGGCCCAGGGGACCTCTGGCTGGAGCCAAAGGATGAAAGGAAGGGCGTGGGGGCCCATGCGGGAGCCTGAGTTGGGCTCCAGGATTCGCTGCGGCCGCCTGAGCTCTGGGCGGCTGCAAACACCTCACCTCTCGGGGCCCCCCTGGCCCCCCCACGCCTGCCTGTCCCCAGGCCTCTGCTCACTCCTCTTGAATGGGCCCTCCCCTTGTCTCTTTCACTCGGACAAATGCATACCCCTTGCATCCTGCCCCTGGGGTAAGGGCCACCCGGCCAGCCCACCGCACCTAACCCCTCCAGGCTTTGTGCAGGCCAGACCCTCACACCCGGCCCCTCCCCTCATTTCTGGGGGTCAAACTGCATCTTTTCAGCCTCACACCGGGGTCAAGGATGGCTGCCTGGTCAGGCCCCAGGCCTCCCTCAGCTGTGGCCCTCACCCCATGCTGGAGCTGGCCCTCTCTGTCTGTCTTCTCGAGTGGCGGGCCACAGGGGCTGGGCCTGGTGTCTTCCAGTGGCTGCTGGAGCAGCCTGGGGGTTCAGGGGTCCCCGAGGGCAGCAGCGAGCACCACCGGGACCATGGCACGTGGCTGCCCCGGTCGTAGGCCCCCTCCTGGCTCTTCCTCAGACCCGGGGCCTTAGTCCTGCGCAGGGGGCGCGGGTGGGGCCCGACGGGCTGTGGTTCCCAGGCCATATTTCCTTGGGACCTTGACTGGGGTCCTTGGCGGCTTCAGCAGGGCTCCACCCTTATCTGTGCTGTTTTGTGTTTGTAAGTTTAGTGTGATGAAAGTTTTCTGTTGCTAAAAAAAAATCTCCTGAAAACCGCGGGCCACAGCATCCTCTGTGTGGTCCCCACCCACACAAAGCATGCCGGAGTTTTGCTTTGACTGCAGCCCAGGGGCAGACACGTGGCCCGTTTGTGGCTGAGGCCTGGGTCAGGACGAGAGCTTTCATCCCCTCCCTTTTCCCTGGGAAAAGCCAGCTCTGCGGCAGGGGCCTCCTCCTACACACCTTCCCTGTGCAGGCGGCCCCCACCGTGGGGTCGGCCGAAGGCAGGGCACACCCCGCAGACCCTGTAATGGCAGTGTGTCCTGAGTCGGGCTTGTGGAGGACCTGTGTCCCCCAGACTGGCACCCCACTAGCTACTCAAGCATGAAAGGTGGGGGTGGGGTGGGCCGAGTGGAACCTGCCCATTTGCAGACTGGTCTGAGGCGGGCAGAGCAGGCCCCCCTCACCGGCCTTTAGATGGCTGGCTCCAGGCACATGGTTCAGGGAATGTGGCCACCTGGCGGGGAAGGCGGGCACTTCGGGTAGTGGTGGGAGTCCCCTGGATGCTCTGGATGAAGGGACTCGGCCGTGTGTTGATGGGCCGGTGAGCAGCATCCTGAATGAGCACATGGGTCCCGTTGTCACGGTGGCCGGCTGTGGGGCTGAGGCCTGGCCTGCCCGGCTGCTTCAGGAACAGTGGTTCTGAGTCCCAGGAGCGCCCTCGGAGTGGACAGGTGCTGTGGACAGACTCTGGTGGGCCGTGGTCTGGGATGCAGTCACGCAGATGGGACAAAGGAGCCCACCTGGCGTCCACACCCCAGTAGTGACCTCTGACCCTGATGTTTTGGGGGCAGTAGGCTCCTAGTCAATGGTTGGGCCTGGGAGCTCTGCCTGCTGCCACCCTGAGCGGGGTGTCACAAGACTCCTCTCTGGGCGGGCCGAGCACCAGTGGGCCAGCCCAGCGCTTGTCTCAGGTCGCTGGCCCTGGACATGGTGCAGACTGTGGGGGTTGATTCCAACGGGCAACTGGGCCCTCCTCCCACGACTCTCCATCTCTCCCCCACCCCACCCCAGGTGACACGTACAAAGAGGTGCTCAGCTTCAAGCCTCCCCGGCAGCTAGGGGCCAAGGCCTCCAAGGAGACAGCCCTGTGAAGACCCTGGGCCCTGAGGGTGGTGGGGATGCCACGGGGACCCTGGCGGGGGCTTCCACTTGGAAGGCAGATGCGGTGACCTTGGCTGCTGCTTGCTCCCCAGGAGACTCCTCATTCCAAGCCTGCGGCCCCACCTCAGCCTCACCTTAGAGGGGCATTTGGACTTTCTGGACAGGACTGCATCCCCTCCAGCCTGGGCTGGCCTCTGAGCCCCTGAGCAGCCGTCCCCTGCGCAGGCTGCAGCGAGAGGCCTCAGAGCCTTCGAGGTGGGGCGGAGCTTGGGTCAAGGCCTGGCCTCTGTCCCTGCTGCGCGCGTGGCCGAGAAGGACAGGGAGGGCACAGGCGCTGACTCGGGGTCTTCTCTCCTGGGGGGCGCTGGCGTGGATTCTCCTGCACGCCCAGCCTGGAGTGTAAATTGTCCTCGTGTGCCCACATGGCTGGGAGGAAATAAACCCTTTTGTAGAGCTTCCGCTCTGGCTTCGCTTCCTGATTCTTTGGCTGGACCTCCGCCTTTAGGCCTCTGAGCTGCAGCCTCACACAGAGGAAGGAGGCCGGCCTGGCAGCCTCAGCCCTGCTTCCCGGGTCGCAGAGCTGGTGCCCACTTCCCCTGGTCTGTGCCAGGTGGCCTTCCTCTAATGGCTTGGACTCTGGAGCCCAACCGTGGGGCAGGGTCTGCTGAGAGCTGGGTGGTTAGGGTCCAACCTGGGGCTCAGTCCCAGCTGTTTGAGTCCCGGCTCTCTCCAAGACCAGGTTCCTAGGGAGGGGAGCCATGTTGGACCTGCAGAGGCACCTCAAGCCTCCTCCCTGGTGTCTCTGGAGAGAAGGGTTTCTGTTCTCTCCCACGGCCACATTCTTGCGCCATCACCGAGCCCACAGAGCCCTCTGCTGGTCGACACCTTCAAGAGCTCGCAGCGCAGTCGGTAGCCACTCCAGGGCTCCAGCGGTGGCCTTGGCTCCTCCCACCTGTCCCCAGGGTAGGTGCCCCCAAAGCGGGCCAGGCAGTTCTCCCGGCCTGGAGTTGGGCTGGGCACATGCAGTTATTCAAGCCAAAGTGGTCAGCTGAGTTGCCACAGCGGACACCGGCCTTCTCTGCTCAGGTCTCCCCGCACCTTTGGGACAGACTCCTGCTGGGGGCCTCCTGCTGGGGCCCCAGCATCCAAGTAAAGCTGTCGGCCTGACCATGCCCCTCCCCCAGGCATGTGTCCCAGGATGGCCAATCACAGCACGTCATTCCCTAGCCCCAACGTGACTGGCGTGCATCTGACCCCAAATGACCTATTTGGAGTCTCCCCGGAGCCCCCGTAGTGCCGGGGCTACCGAGGATCGGTAGTGGGGGCACTCCAGCTCTAAGGCGCTCCCTCCCACCGCGCTCCGCCCAGGGCTCCACCGCCCACCACGCCACGCCCACGCTCCTCCTCCAAGAGACCCGCCCCCAGGGCCCAGGTCCAGACGTTCAGTCCTGCGGCTCCTGCTGTACTCGTGCCTCGGGCTTCGCTGGCTTCGTTCATCATTCAGTCCACCCCTCGCCCAGTCCACCTCTCCGCCCGCCTTTCCCGCGCCCCACGCTGCCGCGTCTCCTGGCCAGCTTGCCACCAGCTCTTAGGCCGAGAACCTTCCTGGAGCTTAAACCGGACCTTTGTCACTCCCTTCTTAAACCCTAGGGGCAGCGCAGTGTAGCGGGCAGCCCAGGGCTGATGGGGCGCTCTCCTGCTGCACCGCCTGGCTCTTGAGGCCCGGCTCCGCGTTCCTTCCCTCCTTCCCTCGCTGTTGCTCCTGGAGCCCGGATGGGTCTGGGGGTGTTGGGGTGCAGGGGCACCGCCCATGGCACGCAGTGTGACCGCCGAGACTTCCGAGTGAGTCCAGGCACACTAGCCCTCGGCCCTCACGCTTGTCCCCTCCCACTGCTAAAGGGGAACGAGGCCGGGGACCATCCGGCTCCAGGTAGGAGGAGCTGGAGCTGCGGCTGGAGCGGCAAGGGGGAGGGACGGTCGCAGTAGTCTCGCAGGAAGCCGGAAGCCACAGTAGGTGCCACCTTGCCGACCTCGACTCCTTCTCAGCCGGGGTGTACGTAGCCTTGGGCTTGCTTCCTGCCTTGGCTCTGCGTGCTCCTGCCCAGGCTGGGTGCTGGCGGCCCCGGCGGTGGCCAGGCGTTCGCTGCTCCCTGGGGCTGCAAGGTGAGGACGGAGAGCACACTCAGCACGGGCTGGGGCTTCAGCCCAAACACCCACATCTGAGCCATGAGGACAGCACTCGTGTACCACGAGGACATGACGGCCGCCAGGTTGCTCTGGGACGAGTAAGTGTGACCTGGCAGAGGTGCGGGGTGGGGAGGGGACTGAGTGTCCAGGGCACTGAGTCTGAGTTCTCTGTCCACTCAGTCCCGAGTGTGAGATCGAGTGTCCTGAGCGCCTGATTACCGCCCTGGGACGTTTGCAGCAGCGGGGCCTAGAGCAGAGGTGTCTGCGGTTGACAGCCCGAGAGGCCTCGGAGGCAGAGCTGGGCCTGGTGCACAGGTCAGACCAGGGGTGGCCACATATGGCCTGTAGGACACACCCTGGGACCTGAGTCCACCCCCTGCCAGCCAGTGCCTCACAAACAGTGCCTCTCCCCCAGAGCCTCACCATTGGGTGGGGGGGGAGCAGTGAGGTGGGCAGTCCTCCCCTCTCCGGTTCTGCTGGTGACTCTGCCTTGCCTCCTTGCTCCTCTGCAGCCCAGAGTACGTGGCCCTGTTGCGGGGGACCCAGGCCTTGAGCACAGAAGAGCTCCAGGCGCTGTCAGGACAGTTTGATGCTGTCTACTTCCATCCGGTGTGTGCCCTGGGGACACACTCCCCACCCATCCTCATGCCCCGTGCTGCTCACGGCCATGGCTGCCCACCTGGCCAGTGTCCGTAGGTTCATAGATGTGCCAGCGCCTTGCCTACCTGCTGCTGCTGGCACCTGGGACCATCCTGGCCCATTCCACTCAGCACTTGGTGTCTTGCGGCCTGGCACAGATCTGGGCAGTCTGTGGGGGCAGCCGGTGTGGGGTTCATCTGCTCCCCTGCCCCAACAGAGTACCTTCCATTGTGCCCGGCTGGCCGTGGGGGCTGGGCTGCAGCTGGTGGACGCAGTGCTGACGGGGGCTGTGCACAACGGGCTTGCCCTGGTGAGGTGAGAGCGGTCCCTCTGCCCTGGCTGCCACCCCCTCCCTCCGTGTGGGCGCAGGATGACCCTGACATGCCCCATGCCCCCCTCTCACCCTCAGGCCTCCCGGGCACCACAGCCAGAGGGCCGCCGCCAATGGGTTCTGCATGTTCAATAATGTGGCCATAGCGGCCAAGCATGCGCAGCAGGAACATGGGCTGCACAGGTGTGTGCTGGGCTGGCTGTTGGCGGGGGAGGGCGGAGAAGAGCAGGCTGCTGTGAGACACATCGAGCCCCTCCCCAACCTGGGCAGGGCCCTGTCCCCCACATCGTGAGCCCAGTGCTGTCTGTCCCCAGGATCCTCATTGTTGACTGGGACGTCCACCATGGCCAGGGCACCCAGTATATTTTTGAGGATGACCCCAGGTGAGTTAGGGGTGGGGATACAACCCTTCACTGTGACCCCACTCTTCGGGGCACACAGCCTGACCTGGGCAGTTCCTAGCTGGACATAGCTGTGTGCTCAAGGGTCGGGGTTCTGTGAGGGGCCACGGGGCTGTGTCCTGACCTCTGACCTTTGACCCTGACTGGTTGTCTGCAGTGTCCTTTACTTCTCCTGGCACCGTTACCAGCACGGGCGCTTCTGGCCCTACCTGCCAGAGTCCGATGCAGATGCTGTTGGGCAGGGGCGGGGCCGAGGCTTCACTGTCAACCTGCCCTGGAACCAGGTGCTGCCCTCCCCACCCTGCTCCTGCCCAGATCTCCTGCCCCACAGCTCGGGGCCTCCTGCGTGTAGTCCACCCCCAGAGCCTGGGCTGCAGGGGTGCAGCCTGCCCTGGCAGGGCCCAACGCTGGCGCTTGTGGCTGCAGGTCGGGATGGGGAACGCTGACTACGTGGCCGCCTTCCTGCACGTGCTACTCCCTGTGGCTTTTGAGGTGACTGTGAGGGGCTGTCTCAAGGGAGGGGGGCAACTCGATGCCCAGAGCCCCCCACCACACTCCACCAGCGCATTAGGAGGGTGGGGAGGGTCTCTCTAAGAGGTCTCCCCTTCATCCCCTCCCTGCAGTTTGATCCCGAGCTGGTGCTCGTCTCGGCAGGATTTGACTCAGCGATCGGGGATCCCGAGGTGAGGGCCTGGCCTGGCTGGAAGGGCTCTTGGAGTCCAGCAGCCAGGCCCCCATCACACCCGGATCTGGTTCCAGGGGCAGATGCAGGCCACACCAGAGTGCTTCGCCCACCTCACACAGCTGCTGCAGGTGCTGGCTGGTGGCCGGGTCTGCGCAATGCTGGAGGTGACTGTGGTGATGGGGAGGGTCCAAGGGCTGGAGGCAGAGGCGCAGCTGGAGGGGCCTATTGCTCCAGTGACACCCTGCCCTCCTGCCTCTTCCCAGGGTGGCTACCATCTGGAGTCGCTCTCCGAGTCTGTGTGCATGACGGTGCAGGCCCTGCTGGGTGACCCTGCCCTGCCCCTGTCGGGGCCCATGGTGCCACTTCACAGGTGCAAGCGGTAGGAGGCTGGGAGGCTGGGGGGGTGCAAGGCCAGGCCTCACCGCTGCTCCTGCCTCTCCCTGCAGTGCCCTGGAGTCCATCCAGAGTGTACGGGCAGCCCATGTCCCTCACTGGATTAGCCTCCAGCAGCAAGGTCAGTGTGGCCTGGGCCGGGCGGTGGGACTGCACCTCGGGCTTCCACAACATGGCTATGACTCTGAACCACTTCCTAGACTCAGCCCCTGTCCTGAGTCCCAGCACCTGCTCCCCAGAGGGGAGACCCTTGCCTCTGCTGCCGGGGGGCCCTGAATTCAAGGCTGCAGCAGCCCAAGCCACGGTGGCACTAAGCTCCCTCCAGAACCAGCTGCACCTGCGCCCCACACCACCTGTCCACACAGCTGTTGCTCTGATTCCCCTGGACGCTGCCCTGGTCCTGCCCCCTGATGTCCTCCATCTGGAGGGGTCAAGCCCGAAGGAGGAGACACAGGCCTGGGCCAGGTGGGCAGAGCGGGCCTGAGGACAGGGATGGGGCTGTGTCCACCACACACCTTGTGTGACTCACCTATGATCTGTGTGTCACCCAGTGTCCTTGTGTTCCTCTGGTTTGCCCACCACAGGCTACACGAGACCCTGGCCAAGGACGAGGCTGTCACTGCACTTGGGAAGATCCTGTATCTCTTAGATGGGATCTTGGATGGGCAGGTAGGGGCACCTAGAGAGGCTGGGGATGGCTGTGGAGCTGGGGGTGGGGCCCAGGACCTGCCCATGATAGGTGGCCTGTCCAAGGGAGGAATGGGGGTGCAGAACCAAGTGAATGTGAGTGTTGCCTTGTGCCGGGACCCTTCCCAGGAGAGCCCCTAGGAGCAGGGTCATGAGCAGTCCCTTGGTCCTCTCAACTAAATGCTCTTTGGTAGAGAGGGGAAGGCGGAGACTTAAAGTGGTTCTAAGCACCTTATTTTCAGAAATGGGGCGTTTGACCTCAGAGGGTACAGATCAGATGACAGCCACAGAGACCAAGAGAAGGACTGATGATGGGTCTGTTTAACTGGCTTGGGAGTGGCCCTCCACTGCTTTTATTGGCCCCACAGGTGAGCAGCGGCCTCGCAGCCACCCCAGCTCCTGCTGCAGCGGCCACTCTGGACGCGGCCATTCAGCATGGCCTTTCCCAGGGAGCCCAGAGGTGAGCCGCAGCTGACTGGTCTGAGTGTGTGAAGGCCTGGCTTGTGGGTATCCTTGCCCTGGCTGGCCACAGCGGGGGGGGGGGGGGGGGTGTCTGAGAATGGACTCCTGCTGGGGAGAGAACAGCCTATCCTGGGACCACCTTTTCTTGTAGGCTTCTCTGTGTGGCTGTGGGACAGCTGGATCGGCCATCAGACCTTTCTGATGACGGGTATGCCCCTTGGGTCACGTGTACATTCAGTCGTGCCTGTGGGTGGGCCGTGGGGCCTGGGAGCAAGGCCAGGAGGGTCTCCAGCACAGAGGGTGGGCCCTCCCAGGACCCCTACCCCCAGCCTCTCCTGCACCTCCCCTTCTGTTACCCGGGCTCCGGAGGGTGCATGGCGTCTCACTCACACCACTCCTGTGCATACGCCCACTCTCCCCTGGAAGGAGGACTCTGTGGCTGAGCATCAGGGGCAAGGAGGCGGCTGCCCTGTCCATGTTCCATGTCTCCATGCCGCTGCCAGGGGTGAGTGTTGGCGCCCCAGGGGCAGGCTCTGGCTGCTCACTGGCATCCTCATGAGGGCCAGGCCCCCGGCCTTTCACCTACCCTCCCTGGCTTCCTGATGGGACTTTTGGTGTGGCAGCCCACCTGACACTTGGAGGTGGGGTGGCCTGAGCTGGCGGCAGGGGTGTCACCCGGATGAGGGGATGGGGCTATGCTGCTGTCCCTCACAGACGACTGGTGGATTCCTGAACTTTGTCCTGGCGCTGGTGCTGCCCCTGGCCTATGGCTTCCAACCTGACCTGGTGCTGCTGGCCTTGGGGCCAGCCCACGGCCTGCGGGATTCCCATGCTGCACTGCTGGCTGCACTGTTGCGGGTGCCAGCAGGGGGCCGAGTCTTGGCCCTCCTGGTCGAGGTGAGGTGGGCAGGTGGATGTGCTGTGGGGTGGCAGACGGGGAGACCAGTAACTCACCGCTTTACTTTGCCCCTGGCCCAGGAATCTGCACCCCAGCTGGCAAGCGTCCTGGCCCAGGTGCTGCATGGGGAGGCGCCCCCCGGCCTGGGCCCCTTCTGCGTGGCCTCCTCGGGGGACAAGCAGGCCCTGATGCACCTGAGAAGGCAGCTGGAGTCTCAGTGGAAAATGCTGCAGGTGGCCGGTGAGACTAGGGGATACGGCTTACACGGAATGCCTGGGGCCCTGGGGGACAATTCTGCTTTGGAGCTCCGTGTGGACAGTGGCTGCGTCCTGAGAGCAGAGCGCTGTCCTGAACCGGCAAGCAGTGCCAAGCGGATTGCGCGCCTCTTCCCAGATCCCGCTTGAGTGCTGACCTGGCTGCTTGACACCGGCCAGGGTGGGGGTATTTGCACCCCGAAAATAACGCCGCAGACACAAGCCTGCTGTTAAACATTCACCGGCACATTAGGGCCTCGGTCCCGAAGTCCCGAAGTCCCGCGCGGGCGCTGGTTCAGGGGCGTTTTGTCCGCTGCAGCCAATGCTGCAGCGTCCGCACCCTCGCGCACCGGCCTCCACACGGAAGGTCCCGCCCCGGCTCCCTCCGTTCCAATCAGTAAAGGTTTAAGCGAAAGTCTGACTCCGTCTCCCTTATTGCGCCCGCGGCGTCTGGCCTCAGGGTTCCCACCCGCGAGATATTCGCCCCAAGCCGGAAGTGCGTCACCGTCGCACCACCTAGGCCCCGCCTCGGCCGCGCGCCCATCGCGCCGGCCACCGCTCACTTCTGTTACGCAATTCCGGCGCGCCGGCTCCCGCCGTTTGACAGGGCGCGTAGCAGTGTCGTAGGCGGCGGGAGCTGCAGCAGCGCGCGCTGCCCCGGGCGAGATCTTGTGAGAGGGCAGTTCTGCGGGCCTGACCCCGCGGATCCTTCCCGGTCCTCGCGGACCGTCCACGGGCGGCATCTCTCCGGCCGCCCCTTCTCCGGCCCCGGGAGATCCCGGAGCTGTCGCGTCCGCTGCGCACGGCGCGCGCGGGTCTCCTGCGGTTTGTCGCGTTTCTGTGAGCACCGCGGGTTGCAGACCGCTGCGGGCCGACCGGTGGGGGCAGGGCCACCGCGGACCTGGTTCCATTCCAGTTCCGATCCTTTTGCCGCCGTCGAGGAGGCCTCCTGCTCATCGGCCCTGCCGGCCCTGCCTCCGCCTGTCAGGCCTCGGGGAGCCGAGAGCGGTGGGCATGGCCAGCATCACCCAACTGTTGGACGACCTGTGCGAGGCTCTCCTGCCGGCCGCGAAGGCTCACCTGGGCCAGCGCGGCCCGAGCCGCAGGAGAGCGAAGCAGAGCCTCAAGCGGGTGGCCTACAACGCTCTGTTCGCAAATCTTTTCCAAGACGAGGCTCCCAAGCTGCAGCCTGGCCTCCCAAGACTACCCGTGAAAAACAAGATCCTCATGCTGTCCTTCGACCTGAGAGTGGGCGGCCTGGGCCCCGAGGCCGACCGGCTAGAGGAGCTTGTGGAGAAACTAGAAGCAGCCCCTGGCTGCCCACTGGTAGAGGTGGGGTCGGCTTTGGACCTGCTGGTGCAGCTGGCGGGCAGTGGGCCCCCTCAGGCCCTGCGGCGTAAGCGGGACTACTTCTTCCACAACAAGCACGTCGGCAGGAACGTGCCCTACAGCGGCTACGACTGCTACGACCTGAGTGTGTTTGAGATGGACGTGCAGGCTCTTGTCTCCAGGGAGGAGTATTTGTGTCAGGACACGATCCAGAAAGCACTTCAGGTGATGGAGGCCACGCCGGGCACCGGCCTGCCCACTGCCCGGCTCTTCTCCTATGGTGAGCCCTGTGGTGACAGGTTTGAGAGAGACACCCGGGTGTCGCTCTTCGGAGCCCTTGTGCACAGTCGCACCTACGACATGGAGGTCCGCCTGGACTTGCCCCCGGTGCCCGACAGCGCAGACCTCTGTGGACTGGCCATAAAGGTAGAGTGCTGCTTTCCTGTCCCCGGCCCCCAGACCCTTGGAAACGCCTCCTTGACTTTCCTGTTGTCGGGGAGGGTAGGGCAGCTCTAGAGGCCAGGCCGCTGGACTGGTGGTGAGGCCGGGGCCGGCACCCACCTTCCTGGGCAAGGACGCAGCTGTGCCCCTGCAGGCCCAAGCAACGCGTTGCTTCTGCTGTTCACCGGGCAGGACAGGTTAAGTCGCTTATTCTGCACCCTAGAGGTGTTCCTTACCTAAGTTGATTGTTATTGCTATAATTATTTAAGGTTTTATTTATTTCTAGACAGAGGGGAAGGGAAGGAGAAAGAGGAGAGAAACTTCAGTGTGTGGTTGCCTCTTGCATGCCCCCTACTGGGCACCTGGCCTGCAACCCAGACATGTGCCCTGACTGGGAATTGAACTGGTGACCTTGTGGTTTGAAGCTGGCATTCAGTCCACTGAGCCATACCAGCCAGGACCTAAGTTAACTAAGATGAAGTAAAAAGTTTTGTTTCTCAGTTGCATAAGCCACATTCCAAGTGCTCAGGAGCCACGTGTGGCACAAAAATGCTTGTTCCTGCTGCACATGCGGCTTTCGGTGCTTCTCTCCACCTTTAATGCCGGGCTTCTCCTACATGATGAAGTGAGTCCTCATTGGGCTTTGTGTTCTGTGGCTTCATGAGTGTTGCCAGAAGGAGGCACTCGTGTTGCTACAAGACGTTCAGGTGGTTTGCGAACACAAACTGCCGTGGCGAACAGCTCGGTCTACGTCAGACTTTCTGTCCCCAGTAGGGTTTCTGTGCTGGATTTCCCCAAATGGAATTTCCGGGTCGGATGCATTTCGCTGCACGGTGTGTCAGGGCTTATGTGTTGTATGGAACCGGGGATTGGCAACCTTCATAGTTTAATTCCTTAAGCGGTTAAATGGATGCAGAAACACTGCAGTGTGCACGTGCTAGAGAGAGAAACAGAGGAGACGTTCTGCCAGGCCTCCCCCGTGTGAGGAAGCCCGAGAAGTCCTGGACCTCCACCACGTGGGCAGGGCTGGGACCCAGAGGCACACGTGATGTTCCCTCCCTCCCCGGTCTCCAGGTGCCTCAGAGTGTGGATCCGTCCGAAGATGAAGGGTTCCAGTCAGCATCCAATTTGACTCCCGACTCCCAGTCCGAGCCCGGCACGACCCCTGAGATCGACCTGTGGGACGCGGTGCTCACCTATGAGCCCAGCAAGCAGAGGTGCTGGGAGCAAGTCGGCTGGTACGTAAGCTTTGCCATCAGAGCACCGCCCTCCTCCGGTGCGTGGGCGTGCATTACCCAGAGAGCTGGGGCAGCTTGGGCAGCAGCTGCTCCGACAGGACGGGGGACCTGGGAGTTTCAGTCGGGCGAGGGGCGAGGACTTCAGGCTCCATGGAGGTCCCCGCTGTGCCAGCAGCTCTGTGGGCCACCCTTTGCAGTGAGCGCAGTCCCTCGCTCCCAGTTCACATCCTTCCTGGGAGGGTTCCCAGTCCGAGGCGTCCCAGGGAGGCCTGGCAGGCCATGTGGTCGGGACTGGGAAGACATGACCCGCGCCCACCATTGTTCACCTTTAGAAGGACAGGGGCGTCGCCCCAACCTCTGCTTGTCGGGGTCCAGAGCCTCTGTCTGCAGTGGGCTTGTGCCTCAGGCCTCCCAGAATGGACCCGGAGGCCTTTCACTCAGGCGTACCTGCCAAGTCTCTAGAGCCCATTCCCGTCCAGCCCCAGCCACCGTGGGCAGTCGGGGCAGTCGAGTTCCCCCCAGTAGCAGAGGCCCCTGTCCACACGCAGCCCCAGGGCTGTGAGCGCTGCCCCTGCGCCTGCCCCGGAGCTGGTCCGTCCACAGGACGTCCTCTGCTGTTGCTCCACGCCTGCCACCCACTCTGGAGAAGCCGTCTCCTCCTGTGGGGCTGTTTCTGGGGGGACGGGCTCTTCTCCCTCTGCCCCCAGCCATGGGGCCACAGCGGTGCTGGGGCCACAGCGGTGCTGGGGCCACCCTGGAAGAGGGAGACCGGAGCTCCCTGCGCTCGGACAGTGGTGAGGGAGGGAAGGGCGCAGTGCAGAGCGTCATCAGCGTCATCGGTCAACAGGCACGTGACTGTAACGAGTCCTGAGACGTGTTGTTCTCGGGCTCGGCGCCGGCTTGGAGGTCGGGACGGGCTGGTGAGTCTCATCCACACGAGGACGTCCTACAGCTTGGAGCCTGTTACCCGCCCCTCGGAAAATGAGCTTTGTCTTTGAAAAGCAGAATTTTGATTTGCTAGACTGAAAAATGGGTTTTTTGGGAGGAGGAGAAAAGAGCTGGTCAGGATTTGAAAGTGAGAAGAAAAATTTCAGGAAGGCCTGTATTTTCAGGCTCTGTTTATTAAAAAGTCACTTTTTGCAGTGGATTTAAAATTTTTTAAAAAATATTTTATGTATTGTTAGAGAGAGGGGAGAGAATCATCAGTGTGTGGTTGCCTCTCACGTGGTCCCCACTAGAGACCCGGCCCACAACCCAGGCATGTGCCCTAGGTTCACAGGCCAGCATTCAACCCACTGAGCCACACCAGACGGGTGGACTTACAACTTAAAAAAATGTATGTGTATTGGTTTTAGAGAGAAAGGAAGGGAGGGAGAGAAAGAGAAACATCAACCAGTGCCTCCCGTGTGCGCCCTGACCCAGGGCGGAGCAGGAACCCGGGCTCGCGCCCTGACTGGGGATTAGGCCCCAGCGCTTTGCTGTCCGGGGCGACGTTCCAGCCTGTGGGGCCCCCCAGCCAGGGCTTTCCCAGTGGGTTTTGAAAGACAGTTTTCATACTTTCAGGAGAGGCTCAGGGTTTTCAAAGGAATGTTTCAAAGGCACTGAGTTTAGACTGACCTTGAACGACACGCCTGTTGAACTTGCCACACCAGGTCCTCCGAAGCAGAGCCGAGCTCTGCAAGGCCTGGCGCCCATCCTCTGTGCTTTCTTTCGTGAAGAGTCTGCGCAACATAAAACCAGACACTAGTCCTTTTTAAGTCACGGTCAGTGGCGTTAAATGCGTTCACCTTGTCGTGTGGCCCTCACACCGTCATCTCCAGAACCTGCCGCCTCCCCAAACGAGACTCTGTCCCCACGCCACACCAGCGTCCCGGGTGCCGAACCCGCTGTTGCAGGCGCCTCCCGGAAGTGGGGTCTGCAGCATCTGCCCTGTCGGACCCGGCTGAGCTCACAGGGCCTCGGGCCTCGGGGCCCATCTCTGTCGGGGCAGGTGCCAGCACGACCTTCCTTCTGAGGCTGAGTGTCTGCGGCGTGGGTGGGTCATGTTTCCAAACCCACTCGCCCGCCCACGGCATGCAGGCTGCTTCCTCGCCTTTGGGCTGTTGTGCGGAGCCGCCGTGCACACGGGCGTGCAGACCCGGTGCTGTTCTCACACGAGGCTCCGCTGTGACGGCTGTGCTCCCTGAGGACCACGCCCTGGTGCTGGGGGCGGTCCCCGTGTGGGTGTGGGGGGTCCTGCGGAGCCCGCAGAGCTGACGGGAAGGCTGGCGGCTGGTTAGGGACACCCTCTGTGTATTCCTGCGGTGTGCGTGCCGTGGGGTCACTGTCTCCTGCCTTTTGTTCACGCAGCTGAGTGCCTGTGGCTCTGTCTCCGCAGCCCCCCTGGCCGCAGAGAGCAGCCCTACCTCACGGAGGCGGGAAGGGACGCCTTCGACAGGCTCTGCAGGCTGTGCCGCGAGGAGCTGCAGGTGCTTGGCGCGGGTCTCCCACCCGCCGCGCAGCCCGTCCTGGTGAAGGAGTGCGAGCTGGTGAAGGATGCGCTGAACGTCTTGATCGGCGTCGTGTCTGCCACGTTCCCCCTCTGCCAGGTAGGGGTGCCGGCGCCTGGTGCCGCACTGGAGCAGAGTGGGTGCCGCCCTGCTGCAGTGCCACACCGGGCAGGAAGGGGCCAGTGTGGCGAGCGGACGGCGGCTGGGGTGGCCTGCGAGCTGGCTCTGTGGCGACCACAGCGACGCACTCTGCAGTTTCGTTCTAAAAACGATTCATTTATCAACGTCCTTTTATGAACTGAGCAGGAGTCAGGTGTTTGCTGCTGTTGGTGAAACAGTGGGAAGGGACCCCGCCTCCCTGCCCTCCCTCCGAGTGCCCTGTGTGAGGATGCGCACACCGACCTCCGGGAAGGGCCACGTGGGAAGGTGGCCGTCACCCGCCTCCCTGGCTTTGCGGGCCCCTCTCCTGCCAGGAGCTGCGTCCGCCCAGCCCTCGCCGTTGCTGGGCCTTGCAAGTGAGCGGGCTGGCGAAGGGGGGCCCCGGCACAGGGTCTCCCGGGCTGCCCACCTCACGCACTTGTCCACACACGTGCTGGGTTCCAGTTTTCACTGTAACAGGCCTTTTGCCCCCTTGGTTAAGCTCACCCCCAAGTGTTCTGCTCTTTTGTTGGTGCCGTAACGGAGTTGTTTCCTTAACTTTTGTTTCAGGTTTTTCATTGGTGGCGTGTGAAGACACAGCTGAGTTTTGTGTGCTGGTTTTGCAGTCCGCAGCTTTGCAGAGTGTGGCGAACAGTTCTGTTTTGGGGGGGCTGCCTCTTCGGGGTTTTCTGCGTGTATAATCATGTCGTCTGCAAATGGACAGTTTTCCTTCTTCTTTTCCCATTTGGATGACTTTTACTTATTTTTTCTGGCCTAATTGCTGTGACTGGACCTTCCAGCGCCCTGTGAACAGAGGTGGTGGCAGCAGGCTTCCTGGCCTTGTTTCCGGTTCTAGGGACCTGCTTCTGGTCGGCCACCGCGGCCCTGACGCCCCCGCCGCTGTGAGGCGGACGTGGCAGTGTCCCCCTCGTCCCGGTTTGTTTGGTTCTGCTGAGGAGCTGAGCGGGCCTTGACCGTGTGCTGGGCATCAGCTGAGGTGACCACGCATTCCTCTCCTGCTGACTCGGATTCTGGTGCCGCTTTCCGTGTGCGGAACCACCCTCGAGTTCCTGAGACGAAACCGTGGTGTCCGCGGGGCACAGTCCTGTAGCTGCTGGAGTTGCGGTGTCAATGCGTGACGGAGGGTTTCCCATCTGTGCTCGTGGGGGGTTGGCCTGCGGCTCCCTCCCTCTGGCTTTGATCTGGGCGGCGCTGGCCTCGGAGGGTTGGGGACTGCTTCCTCCTCCCTGGTTTTTTTGGGAGGGTTCGAGAACAGTCCGTGTTAATTCTTTAATTGTTTGGTAGAAATCGACCTGTGAGGCCACCCAGCTCCGGGGTGTTGCCTGGTTTTTTTGTTGCTTTTATTCTGTTGAAATGGCCGCACGATACACACAACGTTGGTCCCTGTGGTTCTTAGGTTCCGGGACACACACACACCTCGGCAAGAAGCCCCCGGGGACCGAGGAGCACAGCATTGCTCCTCACAGGTCTCGGGAGGTTGGCGGCCCGCACGGGACGCCACCGCGCGGTGTTGGGGGAGGGGCACCCGCAGCTCTGCCTCCATCGGGGTCGGTGGGGGGGGTCCCTGGGGCTCCCTTGTTCTCGGTGAATTGAAAACATCAGGGTGGGGACTAGGGTGCAGGACGGGAGCATTGGGTCACTTGAGTGGTCAGTGGTCCAGGCCCCCAGGGCTCCTGAGAGGGGAGCGTAGTGGCAGTGGCAGCCGGTCGCACAGCCGGGCGTTGGGCGCTGTACGGAGGATGGGCCGCGGTGGTGATCAAACCCCCCACCCCCGCCCGCCCGCAGGCCCTCACGCTGCAGGAGGCTTTGGCTTCCATTTCTTCTCCAGTCTTGGGACTTTGCACAGGCCCCTGCCCACCTCACCAGGCCACCTGACTTGCGTGGGGGCCGCCGTGGGCCGTGCTTCCTCCAGGCCCTGAGTGTTCTGTCGGGGGGGGGGTGGGGGGGTGGCATGGGGGCGGAAGAGCCCACTTTCACTCCCGACTCGAACGGTTTTTGCGTCTTGTCCCTCTTTTATAAAATCGTCTTTCGTCCTTGTTGCTGTTCTCCTAGAGCCAACATTTGGTTTTATGAGTCTTTAGGTTGTTTCCAGTCTCTTTATTAATGTCTGCTTTCTTTTTTGTCATTTCCTTCTGCTTTGAGTTTAGTCCACCGCTTTTTCTAGTTCCTTAAGGTGGGCAGTGCAATCACTGGTTTGAGACCCTTCTTTGTAATGTAGGCATTTGGGCTGTAAACTTTCCTCTTTTTTTAAAATAACCTTTTTAAATTTTATTTACTTTTAGAGAGGGGAAGGGAGGGAGGACGAGTAGAGAAACTCAGGGTGTGGCTGCCTCTTGAGCGGCCCCTACTGGGCACCTGGCCTGCAACCCAGGCATGTGCCGCGTCAGGGAATGGAACCCGTGACCCTGTGGTTGGCAGGCCAGCACTCAGTCCACTGAGCTGCACCAGCCAGGGCCAAAAATGCTTGTCAGGACCCCGCTGCCCCTACTCCCTCCCTTGGGCACGGCCCTGGGAGTCAGGTTGTCTGATCTGGTGGCCCTGTTCAAAGGCTTCCGCCCCCAACAAGGTTGCCCTGCGTGCCCTCTCCGCAGATGGCTAGCACGCAGGCTCTGCTGTGCGACCGGTGAAAAGCGGCACCTTATTCTGTGGGTTTTCGTTGCTGGGGGGCAGCTGGGTCTGCCTGTGGAACTCGCTGTGCCTGCGTCCTGGGTGCGGGGCCCCAGGCCTGGGGCCCTCCGGGCGGAGCCGTGGTTGGGTGCGTGGCGGGACGGGGTCCTGGGTGTCTGGCCTCGGTGACCTCCGCTGTGCCCTCTCAGGTGACTCAGGCCTTCGTGGTGAAGCGGGGCGTCCACGTCTTGGGCACGTCCCCCGAGAGCATCAGCGGCCTCCTCGCGGAGGTGGCCGAGTGTGGGACCCACTACGCACGCCTGAGCCACTTCTCCCTGCAGCCTGTGCTGGACGCCTCGTGCGGCAGGGGCCTCGTGTTCCAGGTAGGGCCCTTGACCTCGCCCGGGGCTCTGCAGCCCTTGCTGTCCCCCCCTGCACCACGGGGACCCGTTCACTGTCTGAAGCCCAGTGGCTACTCTTCAGGATATTCTTCTGGACACTTCATCGTCGTCACTGCACTGGAGACCTGGGCAGACAATTTGGGCCGTGGGATAGTGGGAGGCAGGCGTGGTCCACGCTCGGGCCTGGGCCAGGCCCAGGGTGAGGTGGGCACTCACTGCTCTTCCCCACGGATCTCCAGTGAGACATGTGGCATTCGACACACAGCCTCTCTCCCTTGTCAAGTTGAGTCCCAGGAGCTGGGGCTGAGCCAGGTCTCCCTGGAAGCCTCCCGGCTGCCCCCGCTCTGGGTCCCGCCCCCAGGACAGCAGGTGCAGCTTTGGGGGAGGGACGGGCATCCATCCAGCCGCGTGGGGCCTGGGAGCACTCGGAGGGGCAGGGCACCATGCCCAGTAGCACCTCGGAGGGTGGTTGAGGCGGCACAGTGAGAGTCAGGTATCAACCGGGCCCATGGAGAAGGGGCGGGGCGGTTGCAGAAGGAACTGACTTGGCAGGAGTCCCCTCCATCTGGGACGTGAGGGCAGCACAGCCGTCTCTTCACTGGCGGGGGGACGGTGCTGGGCGTAGAGGGCCTCCTGCAGACGCCCCGTGAAGGCGTGCGCTCCGTGGGGCCCGCTGCTGGAGTGCCTGATGCTCGGGATGGATGTGCCACTGAGACCCAGTGGCCGAGCAGCCGGGGATCTTCTCAGAGTCGGCCCCCCCCCGTGCGCAATGCTTGGCTACCCTTCCCAGAGTGCCCCTGAGACCCGCTGTTCCCAGCTGCCTGGTGTGGCTGGTCCGGGCTGCAGGGACAGGGTGTGCAGAGGGCCTGGGTCCTGGCTCCCAGCGGGGCCCCTTCCTTGGGAGCTGGAGCCCAGGGTCGGAGGGTGGCAGTCACGCCCATCCCCAGCCCCCGCGGCCCCGCCCGCATCCCGCGCTTGTGGCCGTGCCTGTGTGCCCAGCCGCGGCCTCTCCGTCCCCTTGCCCAACAGGCCTTCGCCAGCGGCCTGAGGAGGTACCTGCAGTATTACCGGGCCTGCGTGCTCTCCACCCCACCCACCCTGAGCCTCCTCACCATTGGCTTTCTCTTCAAGAAGCTGGGCCGGCAGCTCAGGTGAGCCAGGCCTGGAGAGCAGCGCTCACCCACCCCCCGCCCTGGTGTCTGGCCGGCCCTACACCGGCCCAGTTCCCCTGGTGCTGGGCATGTTGTGCTGGCGGCGCACGATGGGGGGGCTCCCACCTAAGGGCACACGGTCCCCACAGTCCTGCCCTCGGAACTCAGGAACCAGTCAGTTAACCCAGGTGCTCTCTGGAGAGGAGAGTGGGGGCCGAGGGCCCTGGGGAGATGAGTGCAGCGGGAGAGGCGGCCTTCTAGGCAAAGGGGGGGTGTGGAGGCCCCCAGGGCTGGAGACAGGCCCAGCGAGGGAAGTGGGGGTGCGGCCGGTGCTGTGCTGCCGTGGACCCCGGTGGGTGGAGAGGATGAGGGCCTGGGAGGGACTGAGCCATTACCAGGCCAGAGGAGGCAGCAACCGGGTGCAGTGGTGGAGGCACAGGAGGGGCTCAAGGCAGAGCCGGGTGAGAGGGAAGGGTCAGCACTCAGCCCGTGGGAGCCAGGGCTGAGCCTTAGGAGGAGGTGGAGCTGCAGGAGGCCCCGGATGGGCACAACCAGCAGGAAGCTGAGAGCCGAGACCCTCGCGGTGCAGCTGGTTTTGCAGCTGGAGCAGGCAGTTGGACTGGGAAGGGCCCACGACAAGTTCTGCTCTCACCTGGTGGGACCCGTGTACCTGCTCACCGTCTGCCACCTGGCCTCTGTGTCTAGGTACCTGGCCGAGCTCTGTGGTGTCAGCACCTGCGGAGGAGGGCCCAGGGCAGCCTTCCCCACTGTGAGTCCTGCTGGCTGCAGGGAGGGGGGCATGGCTACGCGTGGCCACAGGGGTGGGGCTGCAGGCCCGTCTGCCACGTGCGTGCACTGAGCCCCTCTCCTCGCTGTCTCCAGGGGGTGAAGCTGCTCTCCTACCTGTACCAGGAAGCCCTGCACAGCTGCAGCAACGAGCACTACCCGGTACTGCTGTCCCTGCTCAAGACCAGCTGCCAGCCCTACACCAGGTGCCTTAGCAGACAGCTGAGCTGCAGTCCCCGGTCAGACACCTGCTGAGCACAGGGGTGCTGGGTGCGGGCAGGGCATGGGGGTGGCCAGGACTGGGTTCCCCAGGCAGACCGTGCCACCCGGTGGCTGCCACACCCACCCTGGCGCCCCCGTGCCCTCCTGACTGCGCCCCCCCCGCGCCCCCCCCCCCGGCAGGTTTATCCACGACTGGGTGTACAGCGGGGTCTTCAGAGACGTCTGCGGCGAGTTCATGATCCAGGTGAATAACGAGTACCTGGGCTGCAGAGGTAGGTGGCGGCTGGCTACTGGGTTGGGCGGGCAGGTGGGCCGGGCGGTCCCGGACGCAGGCCAGCCGTGTGCCCCCCCCCATTCAGACAAGTCTTACTGGACCCACGGCTACGTGCTCGTCTCCAAGGAGGTGGAGGACTGCGCGCCCGCGTTCCTGAAGCACATCGCTCACGACGTGTATGTCTGTGGGAAGACCATCAATCTGCTGAAGCTCTGCTGCCCCCGGGTGAGGAGCGGCCCCCACACGTGCCTACAGCCCCTCCTCTCTCTGGCCCCTGGGAGCTCGGGTCCGGAACCGTCATCCCCTGTCCCCCTGAGGCCTGGCCATCTGTCCTCAGCTCTGGGTCAGCACGCTGGAGCTGGGAACGTGGCGGCTTCTCCCTCAGTGTCCCGAGGGTTTTGGAGGGGCCCCTGTCTCTGGGCTCAAAGGCGGGAGGAGAACTGCAGGTGTTCCCAAGGCCAAGGGGTGGTGGGCCCCTTCCCTCCCTTTCTCCCTCCTTCGTCCTCGTGGGAGGCCTCCTGGCGGGTGGGTGGGCTACAGCTGGAGGAAGACAGAGCAGTTGGCTCAGGGGGTTGTGTCCCGTGGCTGGGGGCTGGCTACGCTCTGGAGCACAGGCCTGCACCGAGACCTCTGCCAGTGTCTGTGTGGCCAAGGCCCAGGTGGCAGTGGTGGGGTGTGGGTGGATGGGCAGTTTTTGCCAGGTGGTGCTGTCTGCTGTCTGAGCAGAGAGGCAGGAGGGCTGGCCACGTGGACCTGGGGCACCTGGCACAGCGTGGGGAAGCTAGACCAGGCACCAGTGCGGGCCTGGGCAAGTTCAGCCTGTGGCCAATGGCGTCCCTCCAACGCTGGGCTGGGAACAGACTAGAGTGGCCAGGACAGGGGCAGGGGCCGTACAGGTGAGCTGGGGTGTCACTCAGGAGCTGCCCCCTGAGATTGGTGGCAGGTGAGCCTCCAGGGGTGGCATGCAGCAGGGTCCAGTCTGCCCAGTCTCCACGGGTGGTGCCTGGTGAGGGACGCCCTGGACCTCCAGTTCCTCGAAGACCTTCTGAAGGTCATCCAGGTGTCAGACGCGCCTCTGCTGCAGGAGCCTGGGCCTGGGCAGGGGCCCTGTGCAGCCGGTCTGGTGTCCTTGGAGACGTGGAGGATGTCACGTCCCTTGGCTGAAGAGTGAATTCTCCACGTGGGTCATGAGAAGCCGGGAAGCAGAGCCGGGCGTGGAGCTGCACGTCACTGGCTCACGGCGGGCTCTCCCTCCTTGGCAGCATTACCTCTGCTGGTCCGACGTCCCCGTCCCCCGGATCTCCGTGATCTTTTCCCTCGAGGAGTTGAAGGAAATCGAAAAGGACTGTGCCATCTACGCGGGGCGGATGGAGAGGGTGGCCCGCCACAGCTCTGTCAGCAAGGAGGAGAAGGTTCGAGGACCCCAGCCCCAGGGCTTCCCTCGCACCTTCCGGCCCTGCCCCTGGTGTTCTCTGTCCTGTGGGGGGGGGTGCCCAGGGCAGGGGCTCTGTCTTCTTCTCCCCAGCTCACCGGACGCTGGAGAGGGAGCTGGCCCTCTGTCCTCCGGGGCAGGCACTCCCCGAGCTCCTTGGTTTGCCGTGAGGTGGGCACACTCAGGCCTGGAGTCTTGGCCCCAGATTGCTGTGCAAGACCGTGCCAGCCACCCTGGGGGCCTCCCCGCACCGGCCATCCAGCCCAGGGGAGGGAGCAGAGTTGGGATGTGATCACTGACGATCTTTTGCAGGAATTACGAATGGAAATTGCTAAACAAGAGTTAATCGTCCAGGCCCGAGAAGCTGCGTCCAGGGTCTTAAGTGCGCTGAGTGGTGCGTGTGGCTCGGGTCCTCCCTCTGGGTCTGGGGGCCGCCTGCTGGGGGCTGCTCACACCGGTGCATTCTCGGTGTCCTTGCAGATCGGCAGGTGTCTGCACGGATGGCCTTGGACGCCCGGAAGCGAGAGCAGTTTCAGAGGCTGAAAGAGCAATTTGTGAAGGACCAGGAGGTGGGTGGCTGCGGGCCCTGGAGGGGGCAGGCTCCAGGCACCGGAGGGGTCGGATTTGACCGAGGAGTCTGCGCGTGGGTGTGTTGTGCAGCGACGCCGGGCGGCCAGGCAGGAGGAGCTGGACGATGACTTCAGCTACGCCCGCGAACTCCGGGACAGGGAGAGGAGACTGCAGGCCCTGGAGGAGCAGCTGGAGAGGAAGGCACGGTAGGGCGGCTGCGGGCGGGGCCTCCGGGGTGAGGACGTGCAGGGCCTCGGAACTGGTTTGGTGTTAGTGATGGTTGTTTAACTTTTCTTTTTTTAAGATTTGATTTCTTTACTTTTAGACAGAGGGGAAGGGAGGGAGAAAGAGGGAGAGAAACATCAGTGTGTGGTTGCCTCTCGTGTGCCCCCTACTGGGGACCTGGCCCACAACCCAGGCTTGTGCACTGACTGGGAATTGAACCAGTGACCCTTTGGTTCACAGGCTGGAGCTCAATCCACCGAGCCACACCATCCGGGGCTCGTTTTGCTGTTTAATTTGGCAATTTAAGTATCCACTTGGCCTCAGGGGTTCTGGACATGGACCTTTGCGCACTCAGGTGTCCTTAGCCACCTCAGAGTGTCTGCCTTCGTGGGCGGGGCTGTCCCTTCCTGGTCATGGCCTTGGCTGTTCTGACCTCATTCTGTTTGCAGAGTGGTAGCCTGGAGCCAGAGCAGTGTGCACACATGCCTGTGGTTGTGCACACACGTCTGCACGTGTGTATGGCACATGTCTGTGTGGCGTGTGCGTGTGGTGGGTGTTATTCTTTCTGTGCAGCTGAGGAAGGGAGGCCTTGCCTGCCGAGGGCCCTGTGCCTCAGGCTGCGAAGGGGCTCACCTGGTGTTTATGCAGCAAGTCCTGGGTGGGTGCTGCCCCTAGTGGGCAGCATGACCAGCCTGGTGGGTCCCCGCGGAGCTGTGTAGATGCAGAGGGACCGGCTGGTGGCCTGGGGAAGGTGCCAGGCTTGTGCAGACCACCCACGGGGGGCTCTGTCATTGAGAACCATCGCCATGGGGAGACAGCTAGACAGTTGGTGACCAGTCCTCTCTGGATGTGGCTTCAGGCAGGCGCTGGTTGACCATTACAGCAAGCTGTCTGCAGAGGCAGCTCGTCGGGAGCAGAAGGCGCTGTGGAAGATCCAGAGGCACAGGCTGGCGAGCGCACGGGCTCGCTTTCTCCTAGAAGAGCAGGAGCGTATTCGGGTGGGTGTCGGGGCAGCTCTTCCCCTGGGCTCCGGGGGACTCGGAATCCCCTGAAGCTTCACGCAGACCTGTGCACCCTTCTGGGGGGGGGTTGGTGACCCTCATCAGTTGCTCGTAGACATGGCTGGGAAGAGGCTGTGAGTGCTGTGTGGGCTGAGAGCAGGGTGCTGCGCAGACTCACCTTGTCTCGCTGCTGCGGCAGGTGTGGCTGGTGGGCGCGGAGGCTCCGGGTCAGGTTGTCTGGGGTTGAGTGTCAGAGCTGCCCCTCCCCCACACAGCTGCTGCCTCACATCCTGCTGATTGAATTGCAGGTCATGCTGAAAGCCGTGTCTGAGGGAAAGCCCCTGGAGCCACCGACAGCCCTCCCGCGTGCACGGTCCCAGGTGAGGGGCTGGGGCAGGGTCCAGGGCATGCAGCATGGGGCTGAGGTGGGTGTTTGAGCCGGTGCTGCCCAGGGAGCACAGCGGGTGCCTACCCTGTGGGGTGTGGGTGTTGGTTGTGGTTGCAGACCTGAACTTGGGGACAGAGCTAGGTGGTCAGAGGCACCAATGTGCACTTGTGTCTCAGGCCTTGTCTCCAGGTCCCGGCGGAGGTGGCAGCTGCGATTCTGGGTGTGCAGAGCAGCACGTGGCTGCCTGGGGTAGCCCGAGCAAGCCGAGCGAGCTGTTGCCACAGCCCCTTGAGCCTCCAGCAGCAGAGGCCCGCAGCTCGGAGCTGGGAGCAGGCTTGCAGCTGGGGCAGGCGGAGGGGCCACATCTGTCCTCTGTGGGCCTCAGCGCCCAGGATTTCCTGCCTTCGGGTCAGGGTGCTGAGCAGCCTGTGGACACTGAGGGGACCTCTGTCCTGGAGGAGGCTCTGCAGACCATCGGCTCAGACCTGCCCGCCTCGGCTTCCTCTGAAGTGGCAGACGCAGGGTGCTCTGCGCCACAGGAGTACGATTTCAGAACCGTCCTGAGGCCAGCTGTGGTCACCTCAGCCTCCCCTGGGTCCTTCCAGACTATAGGAGACAACTTGGGCTCTGACGAGCTACAGCTGTGGCGGAACACTGACATACGGCTGGACAGCTGTGTCACAGATGGGTCGGTGGCTCAGCCTTACCCACACTTGCCCAGTAACAGCCGCCCCCAGGAGGGAAGCAGCCCATCTGTGGGGCGGCCCCTTGGGCAGGTGTCAGAGGGTGGTATTCTCACAGGGGGCTCTGCTTCCGGAACAGCCCCCTCCCGGCCACGGTGGAACGTCCACGGCCACGTGTCTGATGCCAGCATCAGGGTGGGGGAGAACGTGTGGGACGTGGTGCCCTCCCGGCCACGGTGGAACGTCCACGGCCACGTGTCTGATGCCAGCATCAGGGTGGGGGAGAACGTGTGGGACGTGGCCCCCTCCCGGCCACGGTGGAACGTCCATGGCCATGTGTCTCAGTCCCAGGTGGTGTTGGGGGTGCTCCCAGGGGAAGCCCAGCCTGAGGCACCCAGGCCCCTGCAGAGCCCCCCAGACCACGAGTCCCAGTTGGGCCTCAGCCCGGGAGCACAGAACCCTGCCTGGGAGGATGAGTCAAGGTTGCTGGCAGGGCCGCCCTCTGATGGCTGTGCTCAGGTGGCGGGCTCTGTCCCTGTGGAAGAAAGTGCCGTCCAGGCCTTGCCCTCCGCTTCGGCTGTGCCTGTTGCTCCGGAGGACAGCGTCTCTGATGAGCCAGGTCAGTGGGGCTTCAGAGCTGTCGCTGGTGGTGTCTGTGGGTCCAAGAGAGGGTGGGAAGAGGGGCAAGGAGGCTACTGTGCAGGGACTGGGAGGTGCCCCCCACAGCAGGCACTTGGCCCCGACGCCCTTCCAGCCCATCTGTGTCACTCAGGTCCAGGCAGGAGTGGGGACACCAAGGACTGCTCTCCAAGTTGGCCCTCAAGCTCACAGGTCGGTAGATGAGGTTGGATGGGGGAGTGTGCTGTGCTGGCCACGCCATCCCTGGCCTTGCATGGACAGGGAACTGCTGCCTGCCCCCCCCCTCCCAGTTTTTGGACAAGAGGAAGGGGCAGGTGTCTTAAGGCCAGTTGTCTTAGGAAAGTGCCACCGCCCAGAGCAGCCCAGACCCCAGCGAGGAGGTGGAGGAGGCAGCCGTGGCCAGGCGCCTGGGCAGGGAGCAGGCCTACCTGGCAGACCTGGTGGGGCAGTACCGCCTGGAGCAGTACCCGGACAGCTACGAGGCCATGTGTGAGTGGGCGGGCGGGAGCGGGCGGGCGCCCCCTGGGCAGCAAGTCCTGGGGCGGGCAGCAGGCTGTGTTCTCCCTGTAGCAGAGCCTCCTGTCGCGCGCCTTCTGCACCACGGGCTCCCCCGGGCCTTTGCCCTTCCCGAGGACGCCCAAGGCCTGCCAGACACAGATGACACCATGGATGAGGCCGCCGTGCAGCTGAGCGAGCTGCTGCCACTGCCGGTGCTCATGAAGCACTCAGTCACCGCGCCGCTGGCGGCCCAGTGAGTGCCTGGTCCTGTCTCTGATTGGCCCCACCCCCGGCCCCACCCCACGCTGATCCCGCCCTCCCTCAGCGTTGCCCTGGTGAACAAGGCGGCCGTTGACTACTTCTTCGTGGAGCTGCAGCTGGAGGCCCACTTCGAGGCGCTGCGGCACTTCCTGCTGATGGAGGATGGCGAGTTTGCGCAGTCCCTGAGCGACCTGCTGTTTGAGAAGGTGAGCCTGGGGATGGACCGTGGGGCTGCGGGCTGCGGGCTTGGGGAGGGGCGCGGGGTGTTGGACCCCCCCATCCCCACCCCACGCTGCGCGTGTGGCTCTCCGCAGCTGGGTGCAGGGCAGACGCCCGGGGAGCTGCTGAACCCGCTGGTGCTGAACACGGTGCTGCGCAGGGCGTTGCAGTACAGCCTGCACGGCGACTCCCCGCTGGCCGCCAACCTCTCCTTCGCTCTCAAGTTCTTGCCTGAGGCCTTTGTCCCCAACGCCCCGGACGTGCTGAGCTGCTTGGAGCTCAGGTACAAGGTCAGCAGAGCTTGCGGTGTGGGTGGGCCGGGCGCGGCCGTCCTGCAGGTCCATTGAGCTGCCCCCTCGCAGGTTGACTGGCCCCTCAACATCGTCATCACCGAGAGCTGCCTGAGCAGGTACAGCGGCATCTTCTCCTTCCTGCTGCAGCTGAAGCTCATGATGTGGACGCTCAAGGACATCTGTTTTCACCTCAAGCGCACAGGTGAGGCCTGCCCAAGCCTGCGCCCCTCAGCCTCTGGTGGCGGCCACGGTGCCCACCACTCAGCCCTGCCCTCCGCACAGCCCTGGTGAGCCCCGCGGCCGGCTCCGTACAGTTCCGCCAGCTACAGCTCTTCAAACACGAGATGCAGCACTTCGTGAAGGTCATCCAGGGCTACATTGCCAACCAGATCCTGCACGTCACCTGGTGTGAGTTCCGGGCCAGGCTGGCTGCAGTGGGCGACCTTGAGGAGATCCAGCGTGCCCACGCCGAGTACCTGCACAAGGCCGTCTTCAGGTGGGTGTGGACACCAGGGTGCCAAGGGCGCCAGTGCTGGCCTGAGGCCAGGCCACCCACCTGCACATGGCCCCTTGCTCCCCAGGGGCCTGCTGACGGAGAAAGCGGCGCCGGTCATGAACGTCATCCACAGCGTCTTTAGCCTGGTCCTCAAGTTCCGCAGCCAGCTCATCTCCCAGCCCTGGCGCCCTGCCAGCAGCCCCCGAGGTGCTGAGCACCCCAACTTCGCTCTCATGCAACAGTCCTACAACACCTTCAAGTACTACTCCCACTTCCTCTTCAAAGGTGAGCCATCCCTGCTGCTGGGTGGGCTTTGGGGCCGAAGGTCAGGGGCCACAGAGGGCCCAGTGCAGCTTCTTAATGCCCCGCCCGCAGTGGTGACCAAGCTGGTGAACCGAGGCTACCAGCCTCACCTGGAGGACTTCCTCCTGCGCATCAACTTCAACAATTACTACCAGGACGCCTGAAGCCCGCTCCACAGCATCCAGGTATGTGTCACGCAAAGGTGCCCCTCCTGGGTGGGGACCATCGCCAGGCTGGGGTCAAATAACCACACAGAGACGGGCCTTGGGAGCTGCTGTTTTATTTGGGGGCTGCTTCCCCCCCGGGCCCAGCCCCCTGCAGAGCGCTCCCTGCACAGTGCAGCTCTCTATGGGGAGGGCGTCGGCTGCGGGCCTGTGCTGGGCTGGCTGAGCCAGTGTCGGACAGAGACGGGTCACGTCCTGACTGGACGTCTCTGCCGTCATGGAGAGACGGGTGTTGGGTTGCCCCACTGGCTGGACGCCGCCTCGTGGGCTCAGCACGACTTGGGGCCTTGGGGCCTCCCTGTGCAGAGGTCCCCAAGGCGGTTACGAGGATCATGTCACACACAACTCTGCTGCCCAGAGCGGGGGCTTACTGCTGTAGGAGGGCCGCCTCTCTGCTGCCCTGCTGGCTCCCTCAGGCTCGGTGGCCTCTGGGACCTCGGCAGCCTCTCCCTCCCTTTGGTATGGGGCCTCTAGCAGCTTCAGCACCCGCCGCACCTGGAGAGGGGCAGGGGGAGGTTGTTGGGGTTGCCCTCCCCCCCACGGCTCTCCTCTGGCATGGGGCCCAGGGGTAGAGGGACGGGTGTGTCCTTGCCTCTGAGAAGTCTCCATTCTCGGCAGCTTCGATGGCATTCTGCGCAATGTAGTTCCGTAGGACATATTTGGGGTTGTTGGCATACATGACACGCGTGTGCTCAGCCTGCCAGGCGTCGGCGTCACTGGCACCGTCCCTGTCCTTCTCCAGCCTGGCTCTAGAATCACAGCCCAGCTTTGCAGCAGCTGCAGCCCCGCCCCTGCCCCGTTTGGTCCCTGGAGATGGTCTGTGGGCGGTGGGCCGGCCTCACCTGTACTCCTGGAGCCAGTCGGCCCAGCGACTCCTGTTCCTGTCCAGCAGCTCAGCTGGGCTCAGCTGCTGCAGCCGGGACTGCTGCTCCACACGCTCCAGCTCCTTTGTGACGTTGGCCCGGGTGCCGATGAGTGCGAAGAGCTGCGGGTTGGACTGCGCCAGCATCAGCATCATGGACAGCTGCCTGGGGGTGGGGTATGAGTGTGTCCAGGAGGCTGCAGTGTCCTCACCCCAGGCTGTGGACTGTGGCCTGGGACCGCTGGACACCTTGATGAAGGCTGTCCCAAGGAGGAGGAGGAAATGACCTCAGCTGCCCCCGCTACCTGCCTGCCTACAGCCTGACCAGCGGGGAGCGCAGGCCCCACGGAGGCGGCCGATGCAGGGGCACCAGCCGGCTGCCCTCCCTCGTTCAGCAGCCCCTCCGCGTCACGGGCAGAGCTACAGCCAAGGAGTGGATTCCAGTGACTGGCTTGGGCAGACCCCTGGGGTGGTAGGGCAGGGTATGGGACCACCTGGGTCCCAGAGGGGCCGGGGGTTTGCACCCTCTCTGCAGCCTGGCACCCACTTCTGTCCCGCGCAGCACTGGCTTACCTGGGAGGTCACTGCTGTCAGGGACGGGGCCTGCCAGCCGGTCGTCCCCACGTGCTCAGAGCCCTCAGCCCGTTCCCCACACTGCTGCACTAAAGTACCCCTGACTGCAGTCTGCTGGCTTGTCTGTCAAAACCCACAACCCTACCCTCTGTGTCTTGTCCTGAGTGTGGGCTGCGCCCCAGGGGCGTGTGTGTCCCTCCCAACGGGAGGCGGTGTAGAAAGCATGGCCTGGTGGAAACCTGAGGGCCCACAGGCTCTTCCTGGGCAGACCCGATGGCAGGTCTGGGAAGCCTCCCCCAGGCAGAGACTTCTGTCCCCCGGCCTGTGTCACCTGGCCACCCCTAGCACTGTCAGCATCGCTGTCCTTTCCTCTGACTCCACTGTTCCAGGGAGAGGGGCAGCCAGCTGGGCCTCCAGGGCTCCAGCCCCTGCATCTAGCACCCCAACCTGCGCATCTCCCCCGTTCTAAAGGTTCCTCCCTTTCTGGGAGCACCCACCGGGGATCCATCTGGGGTCGGAAGGCGAGCCGCAGCTCCTCCAGGGAGGCACACTGCTCAGTCAGTGCGGTCAGGAACTCGGCTGAGTCCACGGGCCCCGGCCCCGCCGGGAAGGAGCTCAGCAGGCGGAAGGTGTTGGTGAAGTCGGCACCTGGAACACACGGCTGCTCGGAGGGCGGGGCCGGGGCCTGTGTGCCCCTCCCGTGGCGCTGTCTCCTCACGGACGGCCCGCACCTGTCTTGCCGCCGTGGTGGGAACTCTACTCTGCGTGAGGTCCAGAGTCTCCTCTGGCCTGTTCCTCACCCCCCCACCCCCAGTTCAGGCACCACGCCAGACACGGCAAGGCCTCCAGCCCCAGGCCCTTCCTCTGTAGAGTAGGTGCTTTGGCACGTCGGGCCCTCGGGCCTCTCAGCAGAGGGCTCGCACGACCGACAGTGTGCGTCCTCAGCCTGACCAGTTAGAACGCACTGTCGCCGGGTCTCCAGAAATACACAGGGAGATGGGGAGGAGTCCACACACTGCGACCAAAGAACCCGCTAAACGCGAACACGGCGGCATGGCGTGAAACAGCAACACGGCAGGCGCGCTACCTGGTCAGTAATTGCTTTAGAGGTCAGTCAATTAAACGCTAGTCACAGAGGTTGGCAGAGTGGATTTTAAAATGATCTAGACGCCAGCGAGTTGACAGGGAAGGGACAGGAAAAAACGTGCAAATAACCTAGAAGAGCTCGGCGGCTCCAGTGTCAGACAAAACAGGCTGTAAGTGGAAAAGTGTCTAAAAGACAAGAGCGTTGATGTCTGATGGACTTGAGCGCTTGGAGTGAACACAGCCCTGGATGGGAACTCCGGACACGTAAGGCGAACGAACGTGCCCAAGCCGACGGAGAAGCAGGCGCAGCCCACCCTCGACAGCCAGGAGGCCCGGCTGGAGCTCCGTCCTGCACACCAACCCGCCCTGTCGGGGAACACGCCCGAGCTGTGGGTTCGATCCCCACTGAGTGTGTCCACAGGACGTAGCCGATCCGTGGTGCTCACAGTGGGGTTTCTCTCCCCACCCCCAAGGCAACAAACATCCTGGGCTTAAAAGAAGAACAGGTATGACGTCTGGACAGGTAACGGACAGGGGACCTGAACAGTAAGCCAACTAGACTGCGACCCTGCGTCCCCTGGAGCCACACGCTCATTGTCTGAGGGCACAGGCTCCCTGACTGCTGCCTGAGGCCACAGACGGGTTTCACTCCATCCAAAGGGACCAGTGTCTCCAGCCACAGTGCGACAGAACTAGAAATCACAAACGAAAGACTGGAAAATCACAAATCCTGTGAACACCCACAGGTCCAACACAGAAATTCTGAAACACCCAAGCAACGTGAGCACCACTGCTCACAGACTTGGGGCTGCAGATGCCACGGTTACATAGTGGGTCTCATCACAAAAACAGGTTGCCGCTGGGGCGAGATTTTATACACGGACGTCAGACACTGTCCTGAAGTGGCTGTTACACGTCGCACACCAGTTAGGAAATCTCCCACCAGAACCTAGTGTCGCCAGTGAAGCAGGAGAGCAGAAGCAGATCCCAGAAGCAGATGGGAGGGAACTGACTAGAGCAGAGAGCAGTGGGGACGGAAGAGTCAGCGAGACAGAGTCAGTTCTTCGAAAAGGTCAGCAAAGTTGACAAACTTAGATACTCTGACGAAAAGACAGCTAAAATCAGAAATGGAAGTGTGGACATTGTCACACAGAAATAAAAGGATACAGTGAAAAATAATATGCCAATAAATGGGATAAGTGAAACAGACAAATTCCTAGAAACATTATCAGACCGACTCAAGAAAAGACCTAGACGGTTCTCCAACCAGTAAGGACGTGGAGTTACTACCCCAGTACCTCCCAGACAGGACCTGACAGCGTCACCCGTGAGTGCTATCAAACGCTCACGGAAGGATTAACACAGCTCCTCCTCAAAGTCTTCTAGGAAACCGAGAACCCTTCCTCACTGTGAGACCAGCAGGGCCTCGATCCCAAAGGCAGCCGGACCCTGCAGGGAAGGGAAACAGCAGGCCCGGTGAGCAGGGTGCAGCAGTCCCGGACAGGACGCCTGCAAACCAGTCAGTGTGTTCAAAGGAGCAGGGCTGGTTCCAGGACCGCAAGGGGCTGTCCCATGGACTGGATGTTTTGTGTTCCCCGTGTCTGTGCACGGAGCCTCCATCCCCAGAGGGACAGAGTCAGGAGGCCAGTCTTAGGGAGGCAGTCGGGCCATGAGGGTGGGGCCAAGAGGGACTTGTGTCCTTGTAAGAAGAGACACAGAGGGCCAAGGGGGAGGCCTGGGTAGACACACTGCCTCCTTCACAACCAGAACGACAACAACCATTTAAAACAAAACCAGAACTGACAGGAAAACTATATGGAAGTCTGGCACCCGAGGAGTTCAAGAAAACACATTCGTCTAGACCAGTAAGAGGGGCAGGGATGGGCAGCCCGGCAGAGACGATTCCCGTCAAGGTGGCGGCTGGAGGACCAGGGAGGTGGCGGACTGTGGAGCAGGGTGCACAAGGCTCCAGCTGGCCGGCAAGGCGGCAGCAGGCGGACCCTGTGCGGTGGCAGTTTGCGGACCGGGCAGTCCCACGTTTGTGTGCAGATAAACCAGGAGAAACAACTGGGATGTGCGACCGACTGGGCAACCCAGGGCCCAGCCCAGGGAAACGCAGCGTCAAACAACTGACTGAAAACACCTGCAGGGGTTGAGGCAGCTGTGGAGACTCCCAGCCTCACGGGAGAGTTTGTTGGAGACCCACAGGGTCCTGGAAAGTACACAAACCCACCCACGCAGGAATCAGCATCAGAAGGGCCCACTTTGCTTGAGAAGTGGGGGAAGTGACTGAAACGGGCAGAGAGCAGAGCACGTGCGACTGTTCCCTCTCGGGCCCCTCTCCCACACATAGCGTCACAACACAGTGACTGGGTTGCCCCGCCCTGGTGAACACCTAAGGCTCCGCCCTCACCACGTAACAGGCAAGTTCAGACAAAAAAAAAGAAAAAATGGCCCAAGCCAACCCATCAGATGCACAGTTCAAAACACGGGTGATCAGGATGCTCACAGAACTGATTGATTTTAGGTGCAAATTAGATGAAAAAATGAATGCTATGCTAAGTGAAATGAAGGAAAATGTACAGGGAACTAATAGTGATGGGAAGGAAAATGGGACTCAAATCAACAGTGTGGATGAGAAGGAAGAAAGAAACAACCAAAACAGAATGAAAAAACAAGAATTAAAAAAAAAAATGAGGCAGCTTAGGAACCTCCAGGACATCTTTAAACGTTCCAACATCCAAATCATAGGGGTGCCAAAGGGAGAAGAGGAAGAACAAGTGGAAAAGTTATCTGAATAAATAATGAAGGAGAACTTCCCCAATCTGGCAAAGGCAATAGACTTCCAGGGAGTCCGGGAAGCTCAGAGAGTCCCAAACAAGTTGGGTTCAAGGAGGAACACACCAAGGCACATCATAATCACATTACCCAAGATTAAAATTAAGGAGAGAGTTCTAGAAGCAGCAAGAGATAAGGGGACAGTCACCTACAAAGGAGTCCCCATCAGACCGGCAGCTGATTTCTCAAAAGAGACCTTACAGGCAAGAAGGGGCTGGAAAGAAGTATTCCAAGTCACGAAATCCAAAGACCTACATCCAAGATTGATCTATCCAGCAAAGCTTTCATTTAGAATGGAAGGGCAGATAAAGTGCTTCCCAGATATGGTCAAGTTACAGGAGTTCATTCTCACCAAGCCTTTATTTTATGAAATGTTAAAGGGATTTATCTAAAAAAAAAGAAGATAAAAGATGTGAACAGAAAAATGGTAGCAAATTCACAATCATTAACAACCACACCTAAAACAACAAAAGCAAGCTAAGCAAACAAACAGAAACAGAATCGGGAACAGAAATGGAGATCACGTGGAGGGTCATCAGCGGGGCAGTGGGAGGGGGAGAGAGTACAGAGAGCAAGTAGCTCAGATGGTGGGGAGAAAAGGGGGAGGGTAAGAACAGTGTAGGGCATATAGAAGCTAAAGAACTTTTGTGTACAGCCATGGATATGAACTAAGGGGGGGGGGAGATGTGGGTGGGTGGGGTGTGCAGGGTGGAGGGGAGTGAAGGGGGGAAAATGGGACAAGCGTAATAGCATAATCAATAGAGTATATTTTAAAGAATAAAAGAAGAGCCCTGACTGGCATGGCTCAGTGGATTGCGTGCAGGCCTGTGAACCAAAGGATCACTGTTCGATTCCCAGTTAGGGCACATGCCTGGGTTGCAGGCCAGTTCCCAGCAGGGGACACACAAGAGGCAACCACACACTGATGGTTTCCTTTCCTTCCCTTCCCCTCTAAAGATAAATAAAATCCTTTAAAATAAATAAATAGACTTCCGCCAAGATGGAGGCATAGGTGGAGAAGCCGTGCTTTCTCACACAACCAAGTTTAGAGACAACTAAATATTAGCAACAGAAAACACAGCCAGAACACAGAAAATTGAACTTTTCGGAAGTCTATAACAACAAATTCTTCAGCCTGACCGGTAAGAGGGACGAAACCAGCAGCTGGCGGAGCGGGGTTGCACGGGAAAACTCGGTCAGACGGACTCAGGCCCGCGGAA